GAGGGCTATCTGAAAAATCACGGCTCGCTTCAATCACTTTAACCTTCACGATAATATTTTCTGCAACTCACAAAGAACTCAGATGAATAATAATTTTAGATAGTATTTTATATCAAATATGTACATATTTAAAAAAGATGTTATAAACATTTTGTTAAAATTATCCATGTTATTAGTATACATGTACAATTTTCATCTTCACTTATTATTAATTCTTGGAAATTAGGGGATACGTATGAGTCTTCCACTTCAATTACTTGTTAATACAGTTTTTCCATGAAGCCTCCTAATGTTGTTTACTTCTTGTCTGATTAAGTCAATAACGGCAACACTCAAATTAGGAAATGTGTTTTTCTTTCTTACTGCACGTTTCAGTGAACTCCAGATGAGTTCAACTGAATTAAGAACACAGAAATATAGAGTTAAAGGCAACGCATCGTATCCACTAGATTTTGCAATTTCATCAACACGAAATTGTTGAGGAATGTCCAATCCTTTAGTGATATCTAGTAAATCATTCTTTGTTTTCCTACCTTCTGGGACATTGGTACTGTTATGTTCCATACAGTCTAAAATCTCTTGTTTTTTACTTCTCGAGCGTAAGCTAAGGCAGTATAGTAATCCAGTCCATCGGGCGACTTGCGTGTTTCATGTTTTCTCGACGTTTCATGACCCGTGAAGTACGAAAAACGTGTTCTCCCGTTGTTGTCCGTCTATCTGTCTCTGTCTGTCTTTTCTCGAAAATGTGAGAATCAACACGTCTTTACTTAATGATGATAATGATAAAATAAGAAATATAATATCCAGAATATTTTGATCGATTGTGACTTCATTAATAATTTAGTCAGAACAAACTAATTCAAATCAAACTAATTTCTACGTGACATTCTTTCGATGTATAAACACAAACACTTAAACTTGGCTTGTTCTTAGTGCTGAGAGGTTATTTTTCTCGTTGTTATCTGTTTTAAATATGTTTTACATGCCGCTAATTTTTACTAAAATCGCAAAATGAAATTTTATAAAGGGAAGTTCTGCCGAAATAATCTTCAACCATTTTTTTTAAAGAGTGCTAGGTTTCTTGGTTAACAATTTAGAATGGTAACTTGCATTATCCATTACTATTCATGGGGGAGAGAGAGGGGGCAATATTCTTGCTGATAATAAAAAAGCATTTGAAACACTACTACCCGCATGTAGAATTGTTGTCATCTTTCCTTTATAAGGGGGCCCGACAAAAAAGTCGACAATATTTTCATCATGAATTAAAGAGTTTTATAAACTGAAGGCAGTGGTGAAAACCGCGTTCCAAAATTTCCATTATTAATTGAGCTTTTGATATTGAAAAATACGTGATGTAAAAATTTGACGAAATTAAAAAAAAAGGTGGTAGTAACATGATTAAAAAAACTGTCGCCGCGTCATATAGTGAAAGGTGTGGACATGTTATATTTAAAATTTCATAACAATAAGTTTGTTAATAACGGAGATATTATATTCTGAAAATGTAATGACAATCCACGAACTTTAAGTTTTTAAAAGCGGTACAGAATTCGCCCTTCAGTTAAAAAAATTATTTCAAAGTTTTATAGAAATATTAGTAAAATTATCAAGTTCTCAATGTTTTATTAATTAGTTTAATAATAATATTGCATGATGATATTTAAGATGGCAACAATGGTTAAGTTTGTGGAAAAATTCATGACCGTAAATAAGTGACAGACTACCAAACGAATTATTAGATTTCTGTGGCTTGCTGCTATCGAATAAGGTGGTGAATGCATTATACATATTTTGTCCGAAATATACTGGGTGTTTTTGAAAGGTTTTCAAAAAAAATCTGATAAATCCAATGATCTCGGAAAACCATATAAAACATTTTTTAGTGTACAAATTTCACAAAAAAATTGCCTCCAATGACAAATATTAATTAGGTGCAAAATATACGGTATTCATTAATTCTTTAGCCCTGGCCTAAAGTAATAGTCGACAATGACAAGTAAAAAGTCAAAATTAAAATTTATTTCAGATTATCAAAGAAAACCGAAGTCGATTAGTTAGAACTCAAGAAGTATGTTTGACTATTGTGTAATGTGGATTATGTTGTGTCACTGTGCGTTTTCAAGGACGAGGAATAATTATTATTCAACAATTTCTAAAATGTAGGTGTTTAATGCGGGTTGGTGAAATGTACGTTTTTTTTTTAATCAATAATTTACACAACGCAACCATTTTTGGCAAATCGTCGGGCTTTAAGTGTTGTACCCATTGCACATGATACGGGTGTAGGCTCTGTTAATTTAAGGTCCTCCAAATTACAAATAGGGAAACCTTTACTCGGTACTCTTTCTATTTAGTATATTTGTCAAATTTTTGTTTTGTGCGGAATGTATACTTACCGTTCGTTTCGTTCGACTGGAAGTCTTGAAGACGGGCTGCAGAACCACCTCGAAGCAGCGATCGCGAACTACCCAAAAGGAACGCGTGGCTGGTTAAATAGGGATCACCGGTGGAAGCGGGCCGGGTAGTTTTAATCCAGAATCCAAGAAATAAATTGTTGAGTTTTACCCACGTCGATTTTAATACCCGAAAACCGTAACAATATAATAAACTAAAATTTGTCATGCCGCAAAAAAGTCGAATAGAAGAGATTATGCACCACGAAAATGATAAATTTTCATTCATTGAAAGTCACATTCGGTCTACGTGGAATTTTAATATTAGAAACTATGTATGTTGGTTACAGCACAGGTAAAGAAGCATCGTATGCATATGTTTCTAGTGAGCTTTTCTATGTAAAAATTGTCTGATGACGTTACCAACATTAAAAAAATGAAGTGGCCCCACCCACCCACCCGTTTTCTTTTTGATCACTCCTTTTATTGGACGAAAAGTAGATGTAATCCAGACACAAGAAGTAAAATTAACCCCATCCATCTCCACTTTTGAATTTCATTGGCTTATTTTATTTAGTCGGAGATGATGATTGAATTTTATTTTGTCAAGTGGCTACGCTTAAAAAAAATCAAAGTGGGTCCGCCCACCCACCCGCTTTCTTTTTAATCACTCATTTTATTACGAAAAATCGATTTTATATTGATAGACAGTGGAATCTAGACACAAAAAGTAAAATTAACCCCACCCACTTACTTCCACTCAGCTGATCAAAAGTTTTAAGCATGACATTTTACTGCGAATGAGTACTGTTTTTCCAATATTCGTTATCATTATTATGGTTGATGGTTACAAAATCGTACAGCAAGAATTATTGGTTGCCTACCTGTAAGGTAGAAAACGCATTGAAAATGTTTAAGAAAATTGGGTTATTATTGACATTGCGATAGTGGCGACGAATAGTTAATCACTTAATCACTCATCAAGAAAGCCAATAATATACCTTATATTATTTTGTATGTTACTACCACACTGCCTCTGTTCAATGTAATTACTAATTACATACGCTTGCGCTTCGTATTATTACCCTACATACAAGACTAGAGAAAGTGTGACTGTTTCCAGAGGCTAAGACGCTGAAAAAAAGATTGTAGTGGACAAAAAGTAATGTATTTTTAACTACCTGGAAGTGTGCAAAGTGGGTGGACACATGCTGTCGTTGCCTACAAATGGAGCTTTTATAATGTAAAATGAAAAATTGCCATCTATACTTCTTCTCAACTGTCAGACATCAAATTTTCCATTATGCATCTTATGAGCTTAGATAACGAAACTCTTGGAAGTTTTGATGTTATCTTAAAATGGTAAAATAAATAAAAATGAACGTTTATTTTTAACTTTACGAGATTGCATAACATATACCTTTCAAATTCATTATTGTCCGTTCGGGAATTAAGTAAATAAACGTATTTCCTGCCTACGCCGAAATTGTGGTTTTGTTTGTGTTGGTTGTGCTGCATAGGCGAGGGAATTTCTGCGAATCAAGACGTGTTTTTACCACAGTTTTTCTAATTATGTTATCCGAATTTTATCTACTTCATTGAACAACGCTATAATTTGCAAAGAGTATAAAATTAATTGAACGAGTAATGCATTGTGCAGCATTAGTGGTGACTCTTAATTTCGAATGGTAATAAATATCGTCGATTTTTAAAAACAAATAGGAACATGTTTTATTGATTTTAGTTGAAGTTTCCAAGAAAAACATTTGCGCTGAGTTTATTGATGTGTTGATTTTATTTAATTAATTGAATTGATTTAATTAAATAGCAGCTGAGGCGTGTCACATTTGAACTAATTCTTAAGAAAATTCATCAGCGGAGATGGAGTTTAATTTACTGCACTGTGCCAAGTTAATTACGTTTTGCCACCAGACTATGATAAGATTTAAATGGTGAATGTAATGAAGGCTTTGAAATATGACTTGCTAGTTTCACATTTTGAATAAGGTATTTTTACATAAAACAGTTTCGGCAAGTGAGGTGAATAACAAAGAACCTTTGAAAAAAGACAAAACGCACAGGAACGGCGGCAACGTGATTAAAGATCATTAAAGTACCATGGACAATAAATTATTATCGCACATCTGTCCCAGTTTATCAAATTATTACTTTATAATATCACCTCTTGCGTTCCAATTATACCATCTGGTGAAACTAAATGCCAAATACAACGTGTCTATAAATGACGCTGACATCAAGGGCGGCTTTGAAATCAAGAAAATGTGCCGCTCTTTCCTAATATGTTATGAACTTTTTGCAGTCATTGAAAAGTTGGGAATATTTTCACCACAGTGGGCATATGGATGTCATCCCTAGTATAGTTTAAGGCAAATTTTTTTGCCTTGGTTAGACAATACACATATATTTTTTGAGTTTATAAAAGGAATCACTCCATCCCAAACTTATCTAAAGAATTTTGCCCCCGAAAACCTCCGCTCGTTACCGATACGATAACAAATCACGACCGTCTCCACTGAATGCGTCAGCGCCACGCGCCCGCCGCCGCTGACGTCCGCTCTAACCTCGTTCACCTCTTTCTTCCAGAAATATGTAGACGACATCTGTGGCGAGGGATGCCAGCGGGCCGTCGCCGCCGGCGAGGACTCCAGTTACGACTCCGACTACGAAGCGGACCCGCCTACCCGCCACCAGGATGTGTCGCGCACGACCAGCGACACCCTGGCCGCAGAGTACGCCGAGTACGTGCAGACGACGCCGCCGCCAGACGCTTCGCCCGGCTACACCGCACGGGTGGAGTTCGCGCTGAAGCTGGGCTACACGGAGCGGCTGGTGCAGGCCGCGCTCCAGAAGCTGGGGCCGTCGCCGGCGCAGAACGAGCTGCTGGCGGAGCTAATCAAGCTGGGGGCGCAGAAGGGGGCGTCGTGCGACAGCAGCCCGTCGGAGAGCACGCTGGACGTGGCCGACGTGCCCGGGGACCAGGGCGGGGGACACGCTCTGAGGCCGATTGTGATAGATGGGAGTAATGTGGCGATGAGGTGAGTAGCGGAATTAAAAAAAAAAAGTAATGAAGTGGTGGAATTTAAAAAATGGTGGTGAAGCATACATATTTGAGGCTAGGATGCAAAGTTATGCAACCAATTAAACGACGCCACGTCTCAACGTTTGTTGAGTTTACTTCACGTACAATTATTTTGTATTCTTGGTTACTAAAATTCGTTCCTGTCCGGCATTTGACGAGGGTCTCTAGTCCGTATGGTTTTACGGATTGAGAATTTAGATGCTTTAACTTCCCAGTTGTAAAATTTTATTAGTATAAAAAATAATATGTGAAAATTGTTATATGACGATTTTTTTCAAAAACAACCAACGCATCTTGTTATTTCCATGTTTTTTCGACGTTTCATGACCCGAAGAGTACGAAAAAGTTGTCTCCCGTTTTCGTCTGTCTGTCGTCTGTGTCAATAGACAGACATCGTCTCCAAAAATTCTGTATTAAAGTAATTCAAATATTACACATAACATACTCCTATACTTGTGGCTTATGAAGCCGTTTTGAGTTTTTCCCATAGTGCCATTTAAAAAAATGGATATCGTATACAAATACAAACAAATGTATAGATTTTCTTACACTGTCACTGGTCTTAGTTATTATTTGTTTGAATGTATGGAGGTATTAGAAACAACTGTCCGTAGAATCAAATTTTGTAATTTTTCGAAGAAGCAGTATTTGTTGAACTGTTCTTAAGGGGGCAGTGAAGTCCTGTCGAAATAACCTTCAACCATTTTTTTAATAATTAAAACTAATAAAATCATCCTTTGCCCATTGCCCACATTTCCTACTTAATTGTTGTTATTCGTTGGCGTCCATGTTTTGCGTCATCGAAAATTAATACTGATCATTTAAATAATAGCATAGTAACTGTTTCTACTTGATTAAAGTTTTATTGTTGTGGGCGACTTTTTATATTAGAAATGACATTTTATATGAGACAGCATCGAAGCCTTGTATTTTTATTGTTTATAAAAATATAAAACCAAGACCATCGTAACCTGTTGTTTATTTGTTTATTTATTCATATTTTGAATAAATACTTCCACAGAAAAATCGTCAACTGTTCGAAAAGTAAATAAACTTGAAAATGTAATTCTCGTTTTTTTCGTTAGGTGACCTTCCGCCAATTCAGCTAGTTCAGATTAACTGTGCGGTTCTGACTTGACCGGTTTAATTAAGCCTTAATCACATAATTACACATATAATTGGAATCCGGAATATATGCAAATTACATATCGATTATTACTAATATGACAATCACATTTTTTAGGTTGTTTAAAAGTTTGGATAATTAATTGAAAGTGACGGATCATAATACATTTTTGCCTATTTTGCGTGTAATTTTTTTCGTTTGTTTTCCATTTTATGTTGGATTTCTATCAGTTTATTTTATTGTATTAATTGTAAACGTCATTGTTGGGTAATGTGTTTGTAAAAAAAAAATTATAAATGTTCCTTGAGAATTAAAAAAAGTGTATAAAACAAAAATAACAAAGTAGTTTTTTATCGCCGGTCTAATTAATTTTAGAGTACCAAACAATTTAAAAAGAATTTAATTTTATTATATCAGTTATGCACAAAATTTCTTCGAAATATACACAATTTTTGTTATACCGGGTGTCTGGAAAATGGCGGTTCAACTCTTCAGTACGTTATGTACGGGGGTTTCGGGAGTTCAAAAAAAAAATTCTTTATGATTTAGATTACGAAAAAAGCGTAATTTTATAATAGTAAAATTGACAACACTGCACACACCTAATGCGAGAGAGTGTGGGTGGGCGGGGCTAGGTACCTGCTAAGATAAAACTGATTTTGGCAAATGAGATACCCTCTAAGAAAAGAGAGGGCGGGTGGGCGGGGCTAGTAACTGCTAAAATAAGACAGATTTTGGCAAATGACATTCCCTCTATGAAAAGAGAGGGCGCGTGGGTGGGGCTACTACCTGTTAAGACTGATTTTGGCAAATGACGTATCTTTTAAGAAATTTAATTAAATTATTATAAAAAAAGACACTTGAGGCTCCAAAGCATTTTCAAATTCTTTCCAAACAGGAATACCTATAACTTCAAGATTGTTTTAATTTTTTCAAAAAAAAAAAAACGGGGTCTCAAATTAACTCAAAAACAGGTAGGTCAGGTCAGAATTTTCCAAAAATAGAGCATCAATGTCCCCTAAAATTCTTTCAACCAATTTACAAAAAAAAAATCCGTGGGCTCCCAAAATAATACACCATAGGTACCCAATCACTGCGGCACCCAAGACTTTCAAATTCGTAAAAAGTAAAACACTAAAAGCTCAAAAGATTTTTTTCAAGTTCATCTAGCAATAAAACACCAGATTCCTTTAAATTTATCCGAAAATAAAACACCAGGGAACCTAAAATTAAAATTCTAAACGTAGAGTTTTGAAAGCTGACAATTTTTGATACTTCAAACATTTTTAACTGCTTACTCGATTTTTGCTGGTTGTGCTTTTGCTTTTTATCAGGCAAATATTGTTGTCAAATGGAATTTTATCAAATTATTACAAAAACCACATAACCATATCTTTGTATATTCTAACTGAAAGGGTAATTAAACATGGTCATGGGCGAGAGAAAATTTTATTACTAGTTATTGTGATAATGAATGTGTTGTTTAATAGTTAAACGTAGCAAAAGACCCAATTTTAAAATCATTGTAACTCCATCAAGATGTGAGATTTTTTTTTACTATTTTGATTGTTAAGAGCATAGCGGAGAATTAATCCGCCATTTTTTAGACACCCAGAATATGTACAGCGTTATGCACACTTGCAATATACCTACGGCGGGAAAAAAGAACAGTAAACTACAAACAAAAAACACGAGAAATGTCTGTAATTATATACATAGAGATTTATCACCTGCAACATATTTTACATAAAGCATAAATACGCTATAAACTACACTTTTTTTCTGTTACAATTAACAGTCCAATGTTTTTTCAAATTTTCCGTTATAAAATTACAAGTCTTCTAGCTGCCAATAACATTGTGTATGAAGAAAAACTTCTTTCTACATCAACAGACGGACTTAATTCTACATTAATATCTACTGATTTCGTCACTTAAAATTAAACTGATGCTTTCTAGGAGCTTGTAACCAGTATTTTTACTTTTTTGTTTACAAAATCGACCATTTTTCCTGAAATGTTCAAAGTATTTGTTTGAAAATTGTTCACTGCGCAGATCTAATTAAGGGCATGCACCCTTATTTATAATTTTGTAATCGTCGCCGAAACAAATTGATAATTCGCTTTAATAAATGCTAATTCGTTCAGCAGAGAATGTTTTTTTGAAAATTTGAAGACATTGAGATGGCACTGCAGTTCTCATTTGAAAATTCTAAAATCACATTTTTTATTAGTTCCAAATGTTCCACATAAAGATTGTGGTGTTTAACCAAGTACTCTATCGGGTAAAAACGGGTTCAGGTGACAGTGGAGTATTTGGCAACTTTTCTTTATATATTTACACCCTCAAAGACGGAAACAGGAGACTACTTTTTTCGTACTGTAGGGGTCATGAAACGTCGAGAAAATATAAAAGTGGCCATTCGTCAAATGGACTCGATTACTTTCTTAGCATACGATCGGGAAGTAAAAAGGATAATTCAGATATACATATACTAAAGTATTATTATTTGTTATATCAAAAATACGCGATATGTAAATTGCATATAATCCAAATAAATTCAGATTTTAATGTACATTTTAGATATTATCCTTAATTTTAATGTTTCAAATTTTTCCTCTTATTTATTATGCTGAGGCTTAAAAACGATAATTTGCAAAAAAAAAAAAAGAAACTAAACCCGACAAAACCTAAAGAAATTATCGAAATATCCTGTTTCGTTTCACCTGGACGTACTTTCAGATTATAAAATTGTTTTTTAAATAGTTTCTAGACGATGCTATAACTAACCTACTTTCACGTGTGTTTTAAGGAGTTAATGTTTGCGTGTGAAAAATAAATATTTGTTGAAACTGCGATTTAAATATAAAATCCAAAGTGTACAAAAAATGGTCGATTCCCATCATTTTTCATTTTATGGACAATAACTGCCTACTTTGTGACTAAATTATTTATGTGTGTTAAGTAATGTTATAAAATTCAATGTCTTAAAATTTTGGAGCACTGCATATCAGTGTTAATGTTAAACCGGACTTTGCGTAAATTAGTGATGTGATTAATAGAGAGCGGATTTCTGTCGGGCTACGTCACGATTATTAGGTGGGGACGCGTGAATCGCTGTGAATCAGTAGCGGGTAATAATCAGTGCATTTAATTTTCACTTATTCCATAAATACAATTCACGAAACCTTAATTCGTAAAACAGCTAGGTAAATGAGAACGGGAATTAACAGCAAAGTACAACGAAGCACCGTTATTTTATTCGAAAATAGACGAAGTGCAGCTAGTAACTGCTCTGAATTCCCATCCCGCACGAGCCGTACCGAGTTTGGCCTTGCCAAGCCCGACAGAAATCCGCTGTCTAGTGATTAAGGTGCTTCTGTAAACCGGATCTTAGACTCATTATCATTTAATCACATTATTAATTTAATTACGCAATTAACCAGTCACGTGAGTAAATTCAACTAATCAAAACCTCAGATTCATGAGTTAATTGCACATTCATTTTAATAGTCATTTTTGAGATTAAAGTGGTAATTAGTGGTTATTTTCACAGAATTTTTTATTACGTAATGAGTCATTCATATTTTAAATATTCGGTTTTCAAAAAACCCAATACAGTGTATTAACAGCCTCCACAGTATTGACTTATGCGATGATGTTACGAAAACATGTTAGCTAACTTTGTAGCCCCCCAAGTGCTTCACGCTGTTACTTCTCTGTCAATTTACAAAGTTAATTATAATAAGAAAAATCGTAATGTGTACTGTTTTTCAAAGTTTAACATTAATTTCTTCTGTTTTCAGCCATGGGAACAAAGAAATATTTTCGTGCCGAGGCATCAAAATATGTGTCGACTGGTTTAAATCCCGCGGCCATAAAGACATCACCGTATTCGTACCGAAATGGCGAAAAGAAGCACCCCGTCCAGATAACCCGATCCGCGACCAAGACATCTTGGCCGAACTAGAAAGAGAAAGACTGCTGGTATTCACTCCGTCGCGTTTAGTCGGAGGCAAAAGAATGGTCTGCTACGACGACCGGTACATCCTCCGACTCGCCGCCGACGTAGACGGAATCGTAGTGAGCAACGACAACTACCGAGACCTCTGCCAAGAAAGCACAGAATTCCGAAAAGTAGTAGAAGAGCGAATATTAATGTACAGTTTCGTGAACGACCGCTTCATGCCTCCGGACGACCCCCTCGGTCGCTCCGGTCCCACCCTGGACAACTTCTTGCGAACGCAACCGAAAAAGGGCGACCCGCCGCCGCCGTGCCCATACGGCAAGAAGTGCACGTACGGGAACAAGTGCAAGTACCACCACCCAGAACGAGGGCCCTTTCCGCACAAGAGCGTAATCGAGCGCTTGTCGGAGCACGCGCAAAGACACCTTCAAGCCAGGGAAGGGGACATCAGGAAGACGCCGTTGGGACGCACACGGTCCAACGTCCCCCCGCCGAAGGAGGTGCAGCATGCCATCGTCTCGAAGAGCAGAAGCGTCGACAACGTCGGTTCGTCCTCCCAGCAGCAGCCCCAGACCGAAAACCTGCACAGGAAACTGCAAAGACAGCTCACGTTGAACCCCACTTCCGATCCGAGGTTGCTGAGGAGGTACGTGCCTCAGCCGCAGCCTCAACAGTACATGGCTCCACCCAACTGGGACATGCACCAGCACGTGACGCGGATAGCGTCGGCGCCGGACTCGTACAGACCGTGGCCACCGGCGGCCCACGCCCAGCACAGACACATGCAGAGGATGTCGAGTTGCTCCGATCCACAATTGAACGTTTGGCCACCGGTGTGGTCACAAGGCGGGCCCCCGCCGCCTCCCACGCTGCAGGAGGACGCGAGGCGAAAGTTGCATTATCATCTAGCGGCGATATTCCCGGAAGAACAGGTGACGCAAGCGATGAGAATGTACCCGGATGAGACCAATCCCCAGAAGATATGTGCGGCGATATTGTCGATGTTTCCGAAGACCTAGTAGGGTTTGGTGGGATGTTGAAGAGTGGCGTAGGGAAGTAGAAATTGCTCATTTTGATGAAAGTAGGATCTGATGTTGCGGATTGTTTGTTGTCAGAGTTTCGTGTTCTTTCTGACAACAATTTATTGATTTTGCAGTTGGCACTTGGAGAAAATATTCGATGTATAAAGTTTGGTGGAAAACCAGCTTTTATGACAGTTTCTAGTGCAATTTTAAAATTATACGCGAAGAAAATTACTGACGGTGCCGCTGAGGGTCACAATCACGTGACGTCAGAGACTTAAGTTTACATTAAAGAAAAGTGACCTGAGCTAAGTCCACTGACTGTCACTTCAGAACATTTCTTTCGCATATAAATAGAAAGTTGCACGTTTATAAAATTGTGTGGATAACAGTCCCAGTAACGGGTCACTTAAAGACCTTAGAAAACTAATTTTTCCGCATGCGCATTGCACACCTTATATAAGTATACATAAAATATAAAAACTGCGATACGACTAAACGTGAAAAATTCATACAACGTACGAAACGCAAAAGTATGCCAAAATGCAACTAAAAAGTCTGACCTGCGCAGAAAACGAACAGTAGATTATGTTATATATATTAACATTCATACTACTACTTAAACTGCCTATAATATTAAGCAAATCTTTTTTTTACTTTAAAAAAACGAGGAAAGTAAGTTTCTATGTTTTATGTCAAGTGTTGACACGCTTCGGATTTCTATTCGTGTTGCTGACTTATGAGTGACGCAATTCCTTCTACGACGAGCGGATTACGCAGAGAGCCGCAATTGCACTCCATGTACAGTTAATTTGGAGTGGATAAGTATGTAAGTAACAAGTATGACTAATTTGAAATAAATGTATACTTCAACAGTAAAGGGGCTTTTATGGGAAAAAAATATAATCAACAAAATATCAATTTATTTCCTTAGTTATGTTTTCGGGAATTTATCATATATTTCCTCCAAATTTTAAATATATTTCGCAAAATATATTTATTCGTTTTTTTTTTCGGGTAGATTGGGCTTTAACATGTAATTAAATATTTTTTATACCGAAGATCACTTATCTGAAACCAGCTCAGATTTGTTGAAATGTATTAACATTTGACAGTCTGTTACATATCATGGGGTACGAATTAAATTATATTGACATTGTGTCATTAGTTGTCAAATCCAGTCGTACCACATTTCCTTCTTCATAACGAAATAAAAATCAAACTTCAACTGCGTCAATTTTGGCAACGTAATGCATCATATATTGCTTTTTATTAATTCATAAACAAAAACGGTGTAGCGTAGGCTACGTGACGATGAACATGTTTCGACGCGGAATGAACTTATGTTTACTGTTTGTGCATGTGTCTTTCAGCTAGTTATTTAATTTTTACCGTAAGTGTTTCTCCCTACGCCACTGGTACCTACTGTTGTGTATACCATCAAGATCTTGTAATATAAAGCACGATCTGTTGTTTTATACTTCTATGGGCTTATGAGAGATTAAGCGTATACGAGGTTAGGTCAGTCATTATCTAAACGTAATGGACTTACGACGAGGCGTAGTTTAGATTGTCAAAATAACTTCATATTGAAGAATACAGAGTAATATTAGTAGGAGAACTAAGTAGATTTGTACTAAATAGGAATAACGCTTTTCAAGGATTGTGGTGTCAACCCTCTGTTTTAACATGTCATAATATAATCAATAAGTTGATACTATGTATCTCTAGTAAAATTGTTGCAATTTTGTATTATAGTATAGTATATTGAAAATTTGATTCGTATAGTCGACGATTGTACAAGTCAAATTTGATACTAGCCCAGTATCAATTCAAGTATTGAGAATGTTGTAATTTGATGAATACTCAAGAGGCCCTCCTCAGATTTTGGACTACGCCATGTTTGCTGTCAAGATTATCAAAACGATACGGAACATGGCGTTTAAAAAATAGATAATTCTTAAGTTGTAGATGAAACTTGTTAAATTAACCGTACTATAAACCAACCTAGACTATTGCGTCGATGTTGATGTGTTATGTATGCACGTTAAGTGTCTTTTCTTTAGTAAAGTTGCATATTGCATTGTGTTTTTCAAATACTAATGTTGTTGTAAAAATACTCATTAATGTTCGTTACTCTGTATATTACAGTTAATTCATGGCCATGTGCAGGGTTTCGTTTATTTTGGAGAGAATCATGTATTTACACTACAGAATTAATGTTTTATAGTTTTATATTTTACTCAACGTTATTAACCTTTTGCAATATCTATTATTTATTTTTATTTTATAAATATAATTCGAAAAAGACCAGCCTGTGTTTGCTTTGATACCTTTAAGCATATTGATTTTGTTAAATGTCAATAAAGGGTACTTGATCGAGTTAGTGAAGTGATCCGATGTGGCGCCACTGCTTTCATTTGGTGTTTTTAGCTCCGTGGGTGTGGCAGTCCTGCGCCAATCGTGTTTGTTGGGTGTACCGCTTCGCCATTTTCCACGATATTTATTGAATTAACACAGTTTTTGACTAAATAATTACAGTGGTGTGTACTAAAAACAATGTGTGGCAGTTTATTTGATCATAAATGAGTGCGTTCAACCATGCGGAGGTAAGATACTGACCTAAATTTCGCCACATTTCTGCAACGGTTTGTTGGCCTTTCCCCTTTCCATCTGACATTTTTACAAAAATCGCTCTTGTCATCAGCGAAAACGCATCGAAAGTCGCAGAAAACGACCTCTTAACAGTGTTCGAAGTGTTATCTTTGGTTATTCCGGGAAATTGGTGTGCAACGTCCACGATAAACGCATCCCAGGACGGGAGCTTTATCGATGCGCTTATTTGCTTATTATTGTATAAATAATAACACGACCTTGGTAAGTGAGACTTACAATTTACTCGTTAAGTAGTGCAACAAATCGTGGTTAAATATCATTTCCCCGAACCGCCCTTTAATGACTCACTTCCTTATTGACAGCGAAGGCAGTATTGATGAAACTAGAGCTGAAGCCAACCCTGCCTTCGTACTTCCTGCCACGCTTCTTTTTTGTTATTAATTAGCGGTTAATAACCTTCACACTCCTCATTCTCACGACATGCATTGATTTATTATTTCCATCTTACATTTACTTGTGTAACTGGTGTAGTCAAGTCACCAGCTGTTGACTTGGTTGAGAACCCTCGTGTTTTCACCGGCTTTTCCGACTTTCCCCCATTGCCTTACCTTAGAATTGGTCTCCAGGGGCACATTCTGTGTTTCGGTTGTACAGGGTAGCAGTTGCTTTTCCGCTATGTTCCAATTAGTTAAACTGCTGGAAAATGGGGGTGAAAGTTATAAAAGTTTCAAAGTTTGGGGCGGTTGTTAACTCAAATTTGATGTTTAACAAGAAAATATGGGGTTGCCTCAATTAATAAATTAAAATATATTTATAATTAAAGTGCACCAAGCAGGTTCTGTATTTTAAACATAATCATATCATAAGAAAAAATACAATATAGTTAACTATGACAAACAAGCCATACACTTCGTTTATTTTCATAAGTTGACGTTTCACCACATAAAAGCATATCCACTATCTTAACCTGTCATGTTGATTTAGCTACTAACATAATTGATTTAAGTCTAGATCGGTTTTTAATTGGTCAAAAACTGAATAGACTGTAAAATTTCCAAGTATTAATTAATCGGTCAGGTTGAGTATGAAAAGGATTTAAAAATTCTTTCATTACTCTGAACTTCTTTATTTATATATACATATAGAGTTTAAGTCAATGGGGAGTGCAGTGACATCATCTTTGTGAAGCAGCCAGGTTTAAGAATTAAATCATATTGAGCCCGAAGCAGTATGCAAGATGTTATTTAAAAGGTAATTTACTGCAGATGATGCAAGACTTCTGCTTAAAGTACAATTTTTAAAGCGTACGAGAAATTGTAGTACTCTTCAATACTGCCAGGGATTTCACTTTGAAGTTTCCCAAATCGGATCGACACGAACCCCGAGTTTTCGGACCGGCGCGAACTTTAGGGTTTCTTAAGTCAGTAATATCGTCATAAAGTATAAGATTACCTTACATTGGCTTACGTTTATCGAATCGTGGAATACAAACGCATACATAATGTTCAGGCTACTTGTAGTTACATTTTCGTATTTTTAGAAGCTCTCTTGGCCAAGAAAGGCTCGGAAACCTGTGGTTGGAAATCTTGTCAGTTCGAATAATAGACGCCGAGGTTTGTCTACTAAATGGAAGGACGCACAGAAATAGAAATAAAAGATAGCTCAGGTATCCAGAGAAACAATCGCAATTGATGTCGCTCGCGTGGGAGCAAAATTGAACGAATAAATACGTGACTTCAATATTGATTTCCATTTTATTTTTAGTAATAAAATACGTCATTTCCCCAATTTTGCCTTCAGTTTATTTTTGAAATTCCGATGCGACGTTATGTTGAATTTTTTTAAGAATGGAAGGGTTCACAAAAAACCCAATAGGGTCATTTTTCATTCTGTGTTACAACATTTTGTGGAGAGATAAATAGAGGTACGTTTTGTTGTGGTATAAATAAAATTATGTCTACAGGGTGATGAAAAAAATGGCTTGACATTCGAAACTATTAAACGTCAAGTTGAAGAAGTTTGTACCGTGTGGAATTTAAAAAAGAAACGTTGAAACCTGAAAAGCGTGTTTCTATAACTTCACATTAAAACATATCAGGATTACAAAGTTAATTCGTTAATTTTGAAGTCTAATATTAAAAAAAAAATGTTTCAGATTTTTTGTAATAATTTTTTTCAATTTCTCCAGAGCCCTCGTAACAACGTACCATCCAGCAAATACGTCATTTTTTCACCACTGTATATGCAGTATGTACATATTTATAAAAATAATTTTCAGATATCGATATTTCAGCTTTTGAAGTAGAACACCTGTATTTTATTATTTCATCTTATTCTCTCTTTTTGTTTTCATTGTTGTTAAGTATTTTTTATATTTAACGTCGATACTTATTGCGATTTTTTATTTTTTTAATAGCCGCATCGACGTATTGAAGGAAAGAGAACAGAAAATTGATTAAGATGCAGTAATAAAATGCAGGATGTTCTGTTTGAAAAAGCTGAAATATTGATATTTTAAAATATTTTACAACAAGGCGTGTACCTCTGGTTATTTGTAAAAATTTTGCGTTTTATGTTAACCCTTATAAGTAAAAAAATATAAATATACCTGGAGACTATTGCAGTACAAATTTTTTGTAAAATAATTGCGGCAAAAATTAAGGCGGATTCGTAAACCACGAGTACAGGAGTATATTATTTCATGAAATTTAGATAACCTTTACTGCAAAACACGATGAGGGGACGTCATCAAATTGTTGGTGGGATGATTGGACAAATTTTGGTTAACGTCTTACCATCTACACGATGTTCCTAATACATACAGGATGACTAACAAAAAACCTTTGACGCTGTATGTTGCTTATTTTTTACATGTTTTATATGAAATCGTTTCAAAAGTAGTCCAGTAGTAGTACTAAAGAATATGTTTAGTTTTTGACAGACAGTAGTCGGCTTTGTTTTTTTTTTAATTGCACCATGTTTTTTTTTTTTTGTAGAAATTAATTTTTAAAATACTAATACATAAAAAAATATTTGAGTCAAAAAAAAGAAGAAAAGAAGGAAACGTCAAGAAAGCATGGAATTACTAATTGGTCAAATGGATTCTTATTACAACATTTCAAGAAGTAAAAAGAGGCAATCTCATGTAAGAAACCTAAATTATCTACTTTTCCAAAATAGTTGTTAAAAATTTTATTTGTTAAATTTATTTTGTACTTAGGTAGTAATTTTGAAATAATGACCATTTGAGGTAACACGCCCTCTGTACAATAATATTGATAATGAGTCATCCAAGTACAATGAGAATGAGTCACGTGTAAACCCCATTCGAGATGAATGCAACTTTCCCCCAACTTTAAACATTAAATAATTTAAATTCAAGAAGAGAAATTGTTTGTCGACCAGCTGAAAAGGTTGAAAGTAATGCATTTTTGTGTTCTCTTACTATTTATCTTGTATTTTGTTGTTGAATTTGATTTACATACCTTTGTTCGATATTTAGTTGTATTAATGAAAAACTGTAATCAAGCTTTCTGGAATTGTGTACGCTTTGTTTTATGACTAACTCAATGAGTCTATCGTGTATTACGTTCACAGAATAATTCATAAAAGCAGGAATATTGCTGCTGATATTGAATTATTGCCGAGCAATGTGGCCGAAAATTGGTGTTTGATTGCAGAAAACTTAAATTCGTTTCTGTTCATTATTCCTGGTATATATACTTGTATGGTCGTATAAAAATATTTCGACTGAAATGTAGTTGTGGATGTGCCTAAACTTTTTAACATCGATAATTCTTACAACCCACTCACCACATCCTGACCATATCGCAATGATTACTACATATTATAAGAACGACAACTAATTTGGATGATTCTAGAACGTCTTATTGTTAGTGTGTTGCTTTAACCAAAAACTGTAAAATACAGCGTTGCATTATCTTTTTCCATTTCCCAAATCTAATATTGTTTTTCACTATCATTTTCACATTTCCGTCACAATACGGTGATAAATTGATGTGTAATGCTACAAAATGAGTTTATCTTTTCCAATAGGAGTGCCAAAGCAAACGCAAATACTTGACATATCTTCGTGTTTATCTAGAATTTTCTAGAGCCGACTTTATTCGGGAGACAGCAATTGCATTGCCGTCTTAATTCTCAGTTTTCCCAAAGAATTTTTAATAAATCAAGAATATGCTTTGTCCTTAACTCAGACCGTGCTTTAAATGTATGTCACGTAAATATGTAATTGTGCAAATATTTCATTTAAACGCAGGTATTTGATTCGAATGTGAATATTTTAATATTATAATTTAACCTTTTCTTACAGCTTCCTTGAGTGTGATAATAAAAAATACGATTTAATACGGTTTTTAAGATATAAATCCAGTTTTTTGATGTTCTAGGTACTGATAAATACAAAATTTATTCAGAAGAACTTACAGGAATGTAAATTGTGCAACGATTGCACATACGCATTTCAATGAAAATGCAAATTATCTTATTGTAATTACGTAGTGAAGGTTGGGTTATTAGTTATTAGTTTAAAATACCAAAACGAAGATTCATAGGTATATTTAAACAGAAATGGAAACTGCATAACCTGTAACATTTACTTGTGTTGCCATTACACTCTCACAACTGCAGTTGCTACAAGAAAATCAGTCCACCCATCATCTGGATGGTAAAACGCTAACCAGAATTAGTATAGTCATCCCCACGTAGAATTTGATGACGTCATCTTAAAATTGTGGATAGTAAATATTATTTAAATTTCATAAAATAACATGCAACATTTCCATAAAAAATACAGTAAAACCACATTAGGCAAATTAAATTTTAGTTAATATTACTAAATGGCGTATGACGAAAGGTTCTAAAATAAACTATTGATCGAAAAACGATGATTCTGTCAAGGTATCCTGCAAAGGAATTAATGCCGAGTGGTCATTTTTAGCGAAATTTTCCAATTTTTTGCCGCTTGAGTCTATTGCCACCATCTGATGGACTTTCCCATTTCATATTGATGATTCGTCAAGTTCTTTAATATGAATAGGGGAACGTACTGAAAAAGATACAAAGAAGAGAGGTCAAATTAGTACATTTAACTTGCATGACTATGCATTTCAAAACAATTTACCTACCAAAAGATGTCGAGATTTGGTTTTAAGTTTTTTAATGATTTTTCAATAGGTTTGATAAAGAGGAAGATCTTCATATATTAAAAAAGTGGCACCAGGTACCTTACAATAGGAAAAAAATCATGAAAATATAGTAGCACCTCAGTATGTAATCCATTTCTAATATTCATGTTTATACTTGAGCCAAAATTTAATTATGAGACTATATTTTCAAAATATGAATTCGGGGTAATTCGAAATACTTAGATTTTATCGAAGAAAACAACAATATCGTAAGGATATTTATAGTGATATCATTAAGATATGAAGTGTATTGCTCTCAAAGTTATTTTTTGTGCATAAAATAAAAACAAACGCTAAAAAGAGTAAATATTATTACACTATTCGCCCTACTATTATTTACTAAATTAACAAATTTCATTTGAAGTGGAGTGCTGATATCACGCTAAGTGATTTTAACATGACATTAGTATAGTAAAACACTTTTTAAGGATGTGATGGCTTCCTAAACGTTATAACGAATATATAATCGCTTTTCTTAAAAGTTAAACACATTCAATTGACCCATGACGTAACTTATGCAAAAATTTTAATGACTGAACTTTGCACTGCACTTCAATTCTAAAGGAATAAATACCAAGTAATCTTATCCTCTACTTAAGTAATTTTCAGTTAAAAGCGTTCATATTTTATTACAAGGATAAATGTTATTTCAACAGCTCTTCCCCCGCCTCTGTATAAAAAAATGTGGATTTTGTTACGAAAACTTAAATGTCTAGGGTAAAAACTCAAGGCGGCTTCATAGACCATAACTATAAGAGCATGTTATTTTATAAAATGTAAGTGTCGTTCTGTTAGCGTTTTACCATCTACACGATATTCCTAACATACGTTAAAAGTTGACAATCGCCCCAGTAATTTCGAAGAACACAGTCAGACGGAAATGCAACACCTACTTTTTCATATTCTAGGGGTCATGAGAGTAGCTACTACAATACTTCCTTAGCTTACGTGCGGAAAGTAAAAATCGCTGCAAACCCTAACATCTATACAGACCTTATACGCACCTCACAAAGAACACATTATGTAACAAATGACTATCAAAGTCCCATCCAGATTTTTGAAATTATCTTTCCTATTAAAATAATTTCTTGGTATGTTGTCATTGAATTCTCTTTTTAAAATAAGGCAATTTGAATTTACCTGCAATTTTTGAAAACCAACAAAGCTATTTATGTCCAAAGATACTTCCAGACAACGTAAAAAGTAGTTTTGTTATTAAAATATGTCAACAACGTCATTGACCAAAACAACAAATAAAAGTGGATTCAAAATCGGGCCCTGCGGTACTTTCGAAATTATAAGAAGTGAAGTTAGGCTTTGCTTTGTAATGGAGAACTAAAGCCTATTAAGTCTAATTTTTTAACAGCAAATTGTTTGACACAGTCAAAAGTGTTTTTGAACGTCAGATTCATCAACTAAATTAGTAACTGTACATTTCTTAGGTACAGGACCAAGTTCTGAAATGAAATAATAAATAGACCACGCATTTTTTAAGAATTTGATCTTTTGAAAATTTTTGAAAAAATATTTAAAATAGTTTTCAGTGTTGTCAGGGTCACTTTTTATGAATAGAAATATGTTAATTTTTACTTCCCAATCGTAAGCCAAGGAATTATTGTAATAGGGTCCATTACTATTGTCATGTTTTCTCGACGTTTCATGACCCCTATAGTGCAAAAAAGTATGTCTGTCTGGGTATCTATTTTTATTAGACAATTTTCCAAACTACTGGACCGATTGTTGTCAAATTTTATATACAAGTTAGGAACCATCTTTCAAACAATGCGATGGCGTCATTTCCAAAATTTACAATAATAAATGTTATTTAAATTTTATAAAATAAGATACTCCTGCACTTGTGGTTAATGAATCCGTGTTGAGGTTTTATCCAAAACATCCAGAGTTTTGAGGAAAAAAATTAAAATTGTATAATAAATATTATGACTATGACTGTACATGTGGTTTATTAGTGGATTCATGGTTTTTAGAATTACTTATACAGGCTAACTCAAAAAAATGAACGAATGGGGTAATTATTTGATTGTTTGAATAAGAACAGCTCATCCCAATTTCCCGAAATTTTGAGAATTTCAGGATATAGTACTGTTATTATTAGCATTATACTGCACCTTTTTAAAATGTTAATGACCCATCACAAAATTTTGTTATTGAAAATCTCAGTTGAACCATACGCTTAGCAGGCTTTTTACCTGTAATAATCCACATATATTTTTATTTTAACCTTAAAAAAAAATAAAATTCGCAAAATTAAACTTTATAATGTTTCGAGGAAGTTGTATTTCTTCCACTATATTTCAGTGGCGAGGGAAGTTCTGTCTAAATAACTTTGGGCCAATGTTTTGCTTGCCAAGCTAAACTGAAGGATTGTAATAGGGTGGAATTTGAAAAAATAGGTCTCTCGTTTTTGTCTGTCTGTCGTATGTCGTCTGTATTGTCGTTTGTGATCATATTTTGTACGTATTGTTACGAAGATCAGTGAATAAAAATCGGCGTCGGTAAAACTCAACAATTTATTTCTTAGTAACTCGAATTTACACGACTAACTATGCAGCGATTATGTACAGAATAATTCCGACGCGACTTGACTGGATGTTCTCACCACTCCTGGCTGACTGAATCAACTGAATAATCCCGTTCCCGACGCTGGTCTCTATTTAATTCTATACATACGTTCCTCCCGATGGATCGGGAACGCCACTTCGACCTTTTTTTTTTGGCACCGCAATCGAGATTTCCAGTAACCCTCTCCAGAGTCGTCTTTTTGGAACCCATAGGCGTCGTACCGGGGCGGCGTATGGGTTTATTTATTAACAGTATATTAGGAAAATTGTATAGGAAAACTAACCAAAATTTGTCGGATTACCGCCACCAACAATTTAATTAGTTGACCTCTAAAGGCTATTAAATGCTATAAACTAATAACTTCTGTACTTGTGGTTTATGAATCCACCTTAGTTTTTACCCTAGACATCCAGACTTTCCCTAAAAAAAAAATTGTGTTACAGCGTTTTATAGTAATAAAATATAACGCCATGTTTCCAACCAAATATAAAATTATACGTAGGAATAACAACTTCAGAGATTATTTTTGCACAACATAATGCACGGTATAATGACGGTTTCCATTAGCGTATGGCGTCCCGGTCGTGGTCTAGAGGTTACAAGTCAGGAATGCGGACTAGACGTCGCGCGTTCGATTCCAAACTTGGCCTTTCAGTTTTTTTTCTTTTTCTCTCGCATTATGTATTATCTATGTTTATGACGTCATAACAGATTTTTTTATTGATGAAATTCCTCCACTTTCTCAAAAAGGTGAGAATAGTTTATTAAAAAATGTAAAACCTTCTCGGGGGCGTCAAATGTTTTTTTTTTAAGAATTGAAACCTTCTCGGGGTCCGAATTGTCTTTTAAGAATGTGAAACCACGTCGGGGGTCTCAACTGTCCTTTTTTCTAGAAGGCGGAACCTTCTCGGGACCCCAAGTGTCTTTTTTTAAGAATATTAAATCTTCTCAGGGCTTCCAACTGTCTTTTTTTTCTATTACACTGTGACTAGTACCTTCTATATTGTTTTTACTCCATAGAGGTTGTCACGAAAAAGTAAAATTGTGCAAAATCAAATTTTATCATTTTTCAGAGAAACAGTATTTGTTGGACTGTACTTCAGAATCTAGGGAAGTTCTGTCGAAATAACTTTCGACCAATTTTTTGTGATTATTAGGTAACTAATTTAAAAACAGTCTTTTTTGTCGCGTATTTTTCCTTCTTTTTTTGCGTGTTGTTTCTAGCGTTTATTGGTTTATTGTCCTTTTGTCACTCTTTATTTCCCGAGCGTAAGTTAATTAAGTATTGTAGTAAGTTCCATTCGAGAAATGGCTACTTTCATGTTTTCTCGATGTCCCATGATCTCTTAGAGTACGAAAAAATAGATCTCCCGTTTCTGTCTGTCGCCTGACTGTATCGATTTTTAGTAGACGGATAATCTCTGAAACTATCTCGTATAAATGATCCAAATTTTGTAATATTTCGAAAAAACTGGATTTGTTCGATTTTATTTAAGGGACGAGGGAAGTTTTGTCTAAATAATATAATCCCGATATGTTAAAATAATGAAATTGTACTTTGTTTTTTTTTTTTAATTTCGTCAAAATTAAATTCAATTAATTTTTTTTTAGCAATTCTCTAAAAATATTACTAAAACACAAAGAACTTCGCATCCTGAAATTCATTTCTTAGTAACATTTACTTAATAAATTTAATGGAATGACTCATTAATTTTCCAAAAGGGATGAATATTAAAATTTTTATCGGTGTGTTCTAATTACTAAATGCATGTTGGTAGCTTATCAAAATTTCAAAACAAGTTTGTTGTACTGATTGTAAAACAAACTGTAAAATTTTATTATTTTTACGATAACCCGTGTGTGGATCATTAAGAATACGGAGACATTATTAAACCACAAACAGAAAGGAATGTCATACCATAAATAAATGGCAAATCTACTGAACGATTTTTGAAAATACAAAATTCTTATTAATGATTGTGTTAACAAAATTTCCATGCAATTGATTTTTCAGTTTCTAAATTAAATTGTAGTTTTCCCCCAGAACCGTAGATACATATTATAAAATTAGAAATGCATGTGGGTCGAGATAAATTACAGATGGTACTGTATATTTTATGCATTTAAATGGGATTTGTTTGATATGACGTCATAGGACAAATTTTAGTTACCGTTTTACCATCTAGCTACACTATATTATTAAAGTACGACTAAAATTTCAAGCAGACTAGTTCCGAGATTATGTGTCTAATAAATCGCCAGCAGACGGCAAACAAACGGAAACGGGAGGAGTACTTTTTCATATGCTAGGAGCTATCAAACGTCAAGAAAACATGATTTACGCTTGAGAGGTAAAAAATGAACGAAACCTTTTACAATGGTTTGGAGATCGCAAAGCTCATGTTCTCTAGCACGAACGGTATTTTAATAAGGGGGTTTTTAATGACAGTAACAACTTTTATGTTTTAAATTGCTCAACTCGCGTGCTATTATAAATTAAAATGAAAGAATATGAATTAATTAGTCACGATGCTTGATTTTTAAAGTGCTATTCATTGTAAAATTTATTTAATGTCATACAAGAAAGTATGTTCTCGCTATGATGGGTAGTAATTTAACCAAAATTAAAAAAAAAACATTTTAAAATGTACAGGCTAGGTTTGAGTTTTCTTCGCGTGATGGATGTACACTTGACGTTTTAATTTTAGTGAAAAATGACTCACTGAGGTAACATTTGTTATAATTTTTATTCTTCCTTCAGTAAATCATGTTATAAAAGGCATTAAAAAATGGCGTATATTACTTACACCAAAAATGGCTTAAGTCGATGATTCACTTTCAGACAGCACTCAACCTTCAGACTCCCGCCGCTGCGACGGTTCGTCATGCCATTCATCTTTTTGGCGCTTGTAATAACATAACTCTTGAATAACAAATAATATTTGCATGAATAAATTTCGCAGAACTTTCCTAGATTAAAAATACTTTTTTTGATCAAAAATTGAACATCTAGCTGAAATTACTAATATTATTATACACATTGAGATGGTGTCGAATTTCCATGAAGACAATAGCTCCCACAGGACCCCGAAACCTCTGTATGCCTTTCGTTTGCGCAACCTCCTTGTGTAGGACAAGTGTTTTGATATGCATTGTGTTACTGTAATAACGAATGTGCTCAGAACTCCACGTTTTCGTCACCTGCTGTCGCGTTCAGTTTGACTCTTTCTTAATTTAATATTTGTTTACAGTTGTGGGCGTCGTGAACATTAAGCTACCATGCCTCTGCCAAAGCGGGTCATCGAGCCGGTCCACGTGGCCAGAGGCACCCTCCCGGAGGATTTTCCTCTAGTGTCTGAGTTAGAGGCTGTGACCAACGGAACCTTGGCAAACACGGTCCGTCAGCTGTCCTCATTATCCAGGCACGCGGAGGACCTCTTCGGAGAATTGGCCAAAGATGCCCAGCAGATCTACGAAAGGTCGAATTCGTTGCAGGCTAGGATTGACAGGCTAGCGATTAAAGTAACGCAGTTGGACAGCACCGTCGAAGAGGTTTCCTTGCAGGATATTCATATGCGGAAGGCATTCAAGAGTACGGTAGCTTTTGATCAACAAGTAAGTCGTTTGTGTACACGTGTTCGATTAATGAGATGGAAAATATTTGCTCGGATGTTGATTAAAATTGTGATCGGTACAAGCACCAGATGTTGGTTTGCGTTTTCTTTATTCGTTAAGTATGTACGTCCGCGTTGGTCGGTTTATGAGATTTGGTTTCTATTAATATTATTGCTCTAGTGTGTCATCTGCATTGTGTTATTAGATTTTTGGCATTGATTCGTGTCCAGATGTTTCCCTATTAATTTTTTATGTTGGCACGTGGACGCGGTTTAATGTTCGAATAAATTGTGAACGATTTTTAAATTTCAGTCATAAAGCCATTGACACGTATGTGTAAATATTTTTGAACTTTGCGGACATGTGTTTCTCCATCAGAATTATTTTTGTTTTGCACAATGAAGCTCAAAACTTCTAGTTATGTAGAATTACGTATTAGAGACTTGGCCAAAAAACTTGCACTTGTTTTAATCTGACCAGTCGGGGCAACATTGTTTCACAAAAAAAAACTTAAGTTCATTTGAAAAGACATTTCCCGTGGAATTTGAAATGTTACAACTATTTTTACGATGTTCTAAATAAACTTTTTTATGTATAATTAAGTGTTGTGTAAATTATTTTATGTACCGTATTATATGGTTAGAAAGTGGATCGTTCAGTTGAGATGGCACACTATATTGCGCTGGGATTCAAAATACGTAAAATATTTACTGCAATATTTGTTTCATAACGTGTTTACCGCGATGATAATAGCTACCTGTGCAGGGTTAAATTGGCATTCTTTACTTAAAAATTAAAATGCTTGGCATTGCGCGCACACTAAATTTAAAATAACATTGCCACAATGCTCTGTTTTTAACATTGCAATTATTCGTCAGAACGTCCAACATGAAAATCGATGGAATGAGCTATTAAATTTAAGGAATAAATGGCAGGTGACTGAGAGAAAAACAAAAATATATATCGACATATTTAATTATTTTGCTATTCGTCTCAAAAACAAATTAGGTATTATAAATACAAGGGCTTACATTTTGCCCTTTTTCTCTTAATTGTATTTTCACAACAAGAAAAGTAAAACATGTTTAAAATGGAAAATTTTTGTAGGAAAGTATCGATTTTATAATTAGGCTCCGCCCCTCGGTCTGACAACAAATGAAAAATTCATCACAATTGAGCTTGGGATGGATATGGGTGGGGCTTAATTGTTGGCTTGTTTTTTTCTTAATATACATTGAACAACACGATACTCAAAAACATGTTTTTATTTCTTGTAGAGTTGGCTCACAACGAAGAAAAAAATCATCACAATTGAGATTGGGCGGTTGGGCGAGGTTTACATTTTGCCTTTTTTTCTTTATATGTGTAGTCATCTTTTCACAACAAGAAACTTAAAACATGTTTAAAATGGTAAATTTGTATAGGGAAATATCGATTTTGCAATTACGTTCCGCCCCTCGGTCTGACAACGAAGGAAGAATTCGTCGCGATTGAGATCGAGACGGATGGGTGGGGCTTCTCTTTTGGTCTTCTTTTTTAATTGATACATGTAGTTTTCTTTGTATAACACGATTACTTAAGAACATATTTCACATGGTAATTTCTCATAAAAAAAGGATTTTGCAGTGAAGTTCTACTCCGCGATTTACGACGAATAAAAAAAAATCATCAGAATGGAGATAGGGTGGGTGGGCGGGGCTTATATTTTGCCTCTTTTTTTACATAGCCAACTTTTCACAACAAGAAATTTTGAACAGGTTAAAATGGTACATTTTTACAAAGAAATATGAATTTTGTAATTATGGAGCGGAGCTTGATTGCAAACTGGATATTTCCTTATACAAATTTTCCATTTTAAACATGTTTAAAGTTTCATGTTATGAAAAGAAATCTACAAATAATAAAACAAAAAGACAAAATGTAGACCCGCCCACCCGCCCTATCTCAATTGTGATGATTTTTTTTTATTCGCTGTGAACCAAGGGAACGGAGGCTATCTACAAAACACTTCTTTCTTTACAAGAAATTAAAAACATGTTTTTGAGTATCGTGTTTTTCAAAAGATACTATGTATATTAAGAAACAAAAGTAAAATATAAACCCCGCCTACCCACCCCGTCTTAAATGTGATGATTTTTTTTAATTCTTAGAAACTTAAAACACGTTTAAAATGGTAAATTTTTGTAAGGAAATATGGATTTTGCAATTTCGCTGTGCCCCTAGGTCTGCCAACTAATGAAAATTTCATTACTATTTAGATCAGGGCAGGTATGGGTGGGGCTTTAATTTTTTCTTAATATACATAGTATTCTTTGAATAACACGATTCTCAAAAACATATCTTATATGGTAATTCCTTGTAGAGAAATAATAAGGATTTTGCAATTAAATTCCGCTCCTTTGGCTCGCGACGATTAAAAAAATCATCACAGTTGAAACAGGGCGGGTGGGGGGCTTATATTTTGTCCCTTTTCTTAATATACGTAGTCGTCTTTTCAGAACAGGATACTTAAAACATGTTTAAAATAGAAAATTCTTGTAGACATATATGGATCTTACAATTAAGCCCCGCCCCTCGATCTGACATCGAATGAAAAATTCATCACAATTGAGAATTGAGATCGGGGCGGATATGGGTGGGGCCTTATCTTTGACTTTATTTTTTTCTTAAAAATATACATAGTATTCTTTGAACAGTACTATACTCAAAAACATGTTTTTAATTTCTCGTAGAGTAATAAGGATTTTGCAGTTAAGCTCCGCCTTTTTGGCTCACGACGAATAAAAAAATCATCACAATTGGGATAGGGCGGGTGGGCGGGGCTACATTTTACATTTTTTTCTTAATATGTGTAGACTTATTTCGACAAAAAACTTAAAATATGTTTAAAATAGTAAATTTTTGTAATTATCCTCCACTTTTCATCTACAACCACGCGTTTCTATAAACCGGCCCAAAGTGTATTTCCTGGGTATAATTTCGCATTTCTTTTCATTATTATTAAAAAAATAATATTACACGTATGTTTTCATTGCTAGGAAAGACATAATTTTCTCAATTTTTCTTCATTTCTGTTAATTATATTTTTTATATAAAATTTTCAGATTTTCGTTTTGTTGTTTGCAGTTTGTTATTGAGCTCGCTTTATTTACTATAGATGAGTGAAGGGGAAAGCATTTTTTTTTCTTTCAACTATAATATTACATCGTGTATAGTGTAACAGTGTAATAAACTCTAGTCTCTAAATGTTTTTCTTAGTATTAAAATACAAGAATTTGTAGAGAAATACCTAGAAGAAAAAAATATGGATTTTTTTTTCCCATTTAACGGCAGGCACAATTATCTCATTTTTATACTGAATAATCATAAAATTTTTGTCCAATGAGTTAAATTTTTTAACCAAAAATAATTGCCAAGTTTATTACGGTTCTAAATGAGTTGAAAAAATTAAAACCTATTCCATAAAAATAATAACAAACATTAATTTATTGCGATAACTGAAATGATTATGATCAATGACCTGAATTTAAATGCCTTTATTTATATTAGTTTAGAAAATTACAAGAATCTTTATTAGTCGTGTAACAATTACGACTACAAATTGTTTTGTTTGACATTTTCATTATTGAAACCGGAATCGGGTTACTACGTCCTATCTGAATTTGAACAAGACATCCCTAAAATAGAATTCTTTTTTGACAAGATGTTGTAAAACTGTACCAATTGCGACATCTAGTATGTTTCTATCTTTGTGTGATACACTGTACGCAGTAAAGACTGACCGCACTTCTTAGCATTTTAGGGGTGGAAACGTATATCTGGCTACCTGTGTCGAACGAAGACAAAAACCTTTTTTACTACACTGTATGTATTATCGTACACAAAAATAGTCAGTATCCAAGAGATATTAGGCTACTCCGTCTCCTCTTTGCGAGTTTCCATAATCTCATAAACACTTACATGGAATAGAATGGACAGGGGCTAAAATTTCCTGATTTCAATATTTCAAATTCGAAATGACAACTCCATGGGATGATGTATATACACTAAAGTAGGGGTTAAGGGCTAAAATTTCCTGATTTCAATATTTTAAATTTGAAATGACAACTCCATGGGATAATGTATATACACTAAAGTAGGGGTTAACTCTACATATCTATATTTATTTTGAAAAAAAAAAAAAATGATGACACGAGAAATGAAAGCAAAAAAAAGAGTTATTGAAATAAAGAAAAGGAAATCTATTGGTTTTAAAACTTTAATTATTAAGACAACGCGGCATAATGAACGAAATTTGAAAATTGATTGCAAAAAAAAACCTGACACATATTATACGCTGTACCCCTTTTCGCAAAACAGCCAGCTAAAAAAAAATTGCGGTAAGAGGTTATTGAACTTTTAAGAATTCTAATAATATTAAAGCCTTCTCGTTAGCGAGAGATAAATATTTTCAAGGTCCTTCTCAAATGGATTAACGTTTAAGATTAGTTTAAATACCATAATAAATCAACTATTTTAAAATCTCGAGTGAGAGATTATGCAGTGTGTGATCTATAACATAATAAAAAAAAACATCCAGAACTTTTAGGTATATCGTTAATTGAAATAACCATGAACAGTTTCAAATCTTAACAAAAATTACAAAATGAATTTACAAACAATAAAACACCTGTTGACGCATTTGCCAAAGTTTCACAACATTATCGGTTGCAAAATGGTTGATAACTGGTCTTACATTAATTATACTCGTTGAAGGGGGACTGAATCCGATTTATTTTTCTTCAAGCAGTTGCCCTTTTATAAAATTACGAACTAAATTTAAGCTACCCTTATTTTTAACACATGTTTAACCCTATCCTAACAAAATAAGTGGTGCGTAAATAGGAGGTGACTGACCTGCATTATCAACCCTTGAGCTACCTTACCTAATTCCTTAAACGCTAGATCATGGGTGATTGCCTACGTAATTGCAATGATATTTTTATCTTTTAAATGTGGTTTCGCGGTGTTTTTTTAGGCGCCAAATTTAATTTTTAAACCAGGACACCACGGATTCATTAAAAACTAATGTTAAAACGCTTGATCTTGTGGTTTATGCCAAATAAAGGCAATTTTTTTATACAATAACAGAACAAATGTTCGCAACTCTTTTGCCATGTAAACTAACTGTACTAGACGCAAATATCACTCCTACCACATATTTCTACAGTCAACTATTGTTGAAAAACGCAGTCACTCCTAATTTGCCCACAATTTTCTAATGTAACTTTCCGTTAACTCATGTTGCTGTGCTAATAAAATAATAACCTCTTCAAAAGTTGTTTTCGTTTTCGGTGAAACAGGAACTGCTATCGTCACTTAGTTTGGTGTCTATAAATAGAGCGGATGCTTATATTACTTAATTTAATTTTGTACCTACTGTAAAGTACTTTGATCATTTGAGATGAAACACCGTATACGTTAATTAATTAGTCTTCGCTGTTTGTGGATACACTTGGCGGATAACCAATTAATGAGATAATCTGTATTTGAATTTTATTGCATGACGTCTACATCAAGGAATTGATTGCACGTACAAAATCATTGAGTTTTTCACACAAAGAAACATTGTGTTAATTAGTATTTTTTTTTTGCAGATATTCTCAAGGGACACAATGCCGACAGCTATGCTAGAAACCTATAGGTCATGTGATAAACCACCTCCACTCCACAAACTCAACTGTTACCGAGACGACGGCAAGGACGGTCTTAAGTTCTACACAGATCCAAACTACTTCTTCGAATTGTGGCGTCAAGAGATGCTGAATGACACTGAACGGATGATGCACGATCGTGGCAAGAAACCTCATCGACCCCGAACGGAAGGTGGCCAAGGCAACAGGCACAAGAAGCGTGTGAGGCAACCACACAACACCCGAGAAAGACAAAAGCAGATCGCTGTAGGACACGGTGAATACATAATGCCTCAGCAGAACACCATATACCGCACGCCGCAAGCTATAATGCAACAGCAGCAGCAACAACAGCAACAAATAATGTTACCAGCTGAAGAAAACACGGTGATCGAACAGCGACCTCCCCGACCGAATTCCATCGAAGTCAGGAGATCGTACCCACAGGAAGCACCCGATGGCCTCCATTCCCCAACTTTCCCACCGTACGAGGAAAATCCTTACCAAGCCGGTTTATGTGGGCAAGGTCCACTCAGCTCCGAATCGTTGTATCAAGGTGGGACTCCCACGCGGGGTAGCAAAGCCCGTCCTAGTCAGCCTCCGCCAGCTCCGCCCAGCAATACAAGCACGCCCTCTTCCAACACGCCAACAAGGGGGCGGAGCATGTCGGCAGGACGCGACACGCTTCCGCCTCCGCCGCCACCGCCGGATACCACCATGTCTCCTCCTAACGGCATTCCAGCGCACTTGGTACGTTCCCAAAGCCAGTCTCGATCAAACAGTCCACATTCCCATCAAGCCACTCCTGAGCCTGTACAAGATTTGCCGCCCCCGCCTCCGGTTCCGAAACAGGCGTCGCCTCCTAAGCAGCAAACTCCGGTACAAGCTCCGCCTCCGCCGCCTCCTCCACCGATGCCGTTGTTGAACGGGCCGACGACTAGTCCTCCATTGGTCAACGGCGATTTGGCCAAGATTCTAAATAGCTCGTCGCCCCCGAAACTGACGCCGGTGAAGGATAGGCCGATTTCTAAGCAAGCGCCACCGATGGTGGACCCTAGGAATGATCTCCTGAAGGCGATTAGGGACGGAATTAAGTTAAGGAAGGTGGAGAAGATCGAACAGAAAGAGGTGGAGCGTGGGAACGGTTTACACGATGTAGCTAGCATTTTGGCGCGACGGGTCGCCGTGGAATTCAGCGATTCAGATTCAGGGAGTGACTCGGAATGTGATAGTGAGGGCTGGGGAGAGAACGAGACGTCGGCGTGACATAGACGCAAGGCTAGCACTGCTAGTCAAATTTATTGATGACGCAACGAAAATTCTTTCCTTACTGTGCAACATGTATATAAGCAATATGCCAAATTTCCAGTATTATCAACTGTCGAGTAATTGACATCCCCACCCTACCACAACTCCATAGTAATCCATGTGCTAATGCATGAGTAAGCTTAAATTTTATAGTTATGGTAAGTCTTGGAATGAATTGTAAATATTGTAATGAGACGTTGTAAATGGTGAACGTTTTATTTATAAATTAAGCTGTATAGAGATTTATTTAACTCGTACTATTCTAATACTCCCTTTTTAATATTTTAACCATTATCTTCAGGAAATCTTTGTAAAATATTTAATGGGTAATAAACAGTATGTCGAAGAACGTTTTTTATTTACGAAGTACGCATAGGAGGGGACACCAATATAACTCCGTCACCTCTTACAAACAGCATAGGAATGTTACGTTTGGTTGTTCTGTACACCTCTTCGTATGTTTCTTCATCGATTTCTACCGTGGTGATGGTTTCTTCGGCATCACTAAGTATCATGTTCATGTGTTGATCATACGCCTGACGTAGTAGTAAAGCGTTAAATATAACCCAAACTTTCAACAATAACGTACTTACGTGTAGTCTGCCTCTAATTTCCCGGTCGTTCCTCATTTTTACGTAGATTCGTTCATCTAAACTTAACCTCACTAAATCCAACGGCTCCTTGACAGTTATTGATGGAATCTAAAAACATACAACAATTAGAGGTGCTAATGACGTACATTACAGACAGACATACATTATCTAAATCATCTGCCATTTTTCTCGTAATTTAATAAAAATTATATTTGCAAAAAGTGCCGAAAATTACTTGTTTACACGATTGTTACTAGCGCACTACCAATCGAAAATTAATAAAATTACTAGATGGTATGTCTTTGTTGGCAACAATGGCTAAACATTACAACGACTGCTGACTACGTTTATACGAATATTTGGATCGTATTATCACAGGTATTATTCCGCTCCCTTGACAAATCTTTTAAAACTATTTTGTTTTTAAAAGTTGTGTAACTGCCAATATCAAGACTTTTATTAATGGTTTTCGGTCGCAGAAGTACAGAACTGTTAGAAAATTCATTACGTATTGTTTTGAACCACTTTAAATATTTGAAGGGAGAAGAGAAGTTAGTGGCATCTCATTTAAAAGATCTCATCAGTATCAATAATCGCAATGCTTTTTTTATTTTGCTGTACCTTTTATTGACTCAAAAAATAATGAAGGTGATTTCTCTCAAACTGGATCACTGTTTAAGATTAATTTAAATGCCATACATGAACTAGGTCGAGGGAGTTGATATAATTTTGTAGTACAAACGTCCCACCAAAAATTAACATGTGAATAAAATTTTTAAAACCCGTGAAAAATTCAAAATTTAGCCTTGAACTGTGATCGTCAACAAAACTGGAACTTTACGTTGAGTGTGTGTGTGTTTTTATGGCGGAATCTTAGATCATATAATAAATAGATACCACCACGCCGTGTTCTTTCCGTAGAAGAGCCTGTGACGACATCCTTCTGTCACATATCTCTCTTGTGCATGGAGGGATTACAATGAAGCTATCCTTGCCTGATCATTATTTGAATTTTGCGCGCCTAAATTTTATGAAGTGTGTCTGAACTAACTTCGTACGAAAGATGTTGACAGCTTGATTTTATAAATAATTCACAGTAGATAACGAAAGGAATAGTAAATTATTGGGCAGCAATTGTGATCCTTTATGATTACATCACTTAAAATAGGTTTTTTGTTCTAAATTCTAAAATTGTTTTTCGTACAAGAACACGAAAGAGAGGTTAGAAGAAACATCTGTCAAAAGCGATTTGTTGCCCTGGTGCGGTACAAGGATGGAAGTGAAATAGACATATACAGATGAAATGCATATAACAAAGATGAAGATGTGGTGATCACACAAGGATAGCATTATACTACTCCCCATGACGTAGAAAACGACAACAGATAGCTTCATGTCTAGTCACAGCTTTCAGTTTGAGTATTGGTATCTATTTATTATATGATCTAAGGGCGGAATACGTTCGTTCAAACAAGTTAGCGCACTGTGGAGCGTAAAGAGCAATGGAATTAAAAACCCTAAGTAGAAAAAAAGTTGTGAGAAATAAACCCACAGAGAAAAATAGTATATTATTAAATTAGTTTAATAAAACGTTCTGTGAAGAACGAGTTCTACAATATGTCTTATTAAACGAGTGTAATATACAATTTTTTCTACTTTCCTCATGATTTTTTGAAGTAAAATAGAAAATCTGGTTACGATTATTATTTAAGGTTTTTTTGAATATGATCTATGTAAATGCCAACACTGTCAAATGACGAATGTGGCGTTCTACATTACAAAACAAAGTGTTACCAGAAACAGTTTCACAAAGGTTTCATTGTTAAACTGTTTTTTTTTTGTTTAACAATGAGGCCATTCTTAACGCAAAGTAGAAAGAAAACTCATTCTAGTTCAAACCTAAGAACAGAGAACACAAAAAAAACATCGCAATAATAAGTTCAAAATAAATAAGGTATAAAGGTGCTAAATTCTAGGCGAAGTACCTACATGGATTTCATATTGTTACGTTGATCGGTGATTAAAAATCGGCATGGGTAAAATTCAGTTTATTTTTCCAAATCAACAACTAATTCTATTTCATCTGTAAGTGTTGTCCTTTAGTCACCCCCGGTTGGTCAAGTCACAGTATCGTCAAGTTGTTGATGCAATCCCGTAAATAAATGACGGAAGTCGCTCAAAAGTTTCGCGTTGTCTGCCTCGCAGTTGCCTCCCTTCCGGTGACCCTTATAGAGGCCACAGACAACAACTTGCGCCTTTAGAGCGCTTATGAATTGTGTTGCTGTAGGAGTATCATTGGTTTCGCAAGAAGAATCGCCCCAAATTGTCGAGCGGATCCAGATTAACAGAACGAGGCCGTAGACTTGAGAACTCGCCACTTCGAAGAAGCTCAGTACAAATAATCGTGAAGGACTTTACTGTTAGTTACCACCCTGTTTGACTGGGTGGCCAATAGACAGTATTGTCGTCACGAAGGAATTGTCATTTGAGAATTATTTCCAACACAGTATACCGCCTTACCATTTCCTGCCCCTGTGCAAACCCATTTAGGTTGTCAAACAACTTATTGGCATCTTTCAACATCTGCGTTGTGCGAAGTCTGTCATTGGGCACGCTGTCTGTAAAAAAAGATAAAAAAAATTTTTAGGTCTCGGCTTTCATTCAAAATATTTGGTTTTTAGAAAAATGACATAATAAACCATATAATATTGTAAAACATGCATATTAATATTAAATGTAACTAACTATATACTACTAGTTGAAATTAAGCTGTGAATATATGCAGCAAAAGAATGGCTAAAAATTTGAGCCACCAATTTCACCTTCATTTTCAGAGGGCTGCAAATGGCCATCTGTCAGTTTTTTCAAAGTGCGGTAGTCTACAGGGCTCCTATCATCAATGGCCTTAACCTCCAACAAGTAATCCCACCGTGCCGTGAAGGATACATTTTCCTCACCAATTAAAACTGGAGCTTGGATGGTGTGTTTAAGGAAATTGTTACACAGGCATTTAACAAGGTGAGGAAGACCGAACATACACAAAGATACGTTTCCCTTTATACACGAAGAAAGGTTGGGACTCTGTTGCACCCATAGTTTTAAACGTCTCGACGTTACTAGTACCCATGTCTGAAATGCAGGTTACCACATTCAGACCATGGTAACTACAAGTGTCAAGAACGTCTAACAGTATGAGTTGCAACTTATCTGAATAAACAGGGTCATGTGAAAACTAGAAAGCCAAAGGTTGTTTCCATTTACCTCCAACACCTTGAACCATACCTAAACACCAGGACATGATTTGCAATCTTTGCAGAGCTGCGTTGGCGTCTTAAGTTCTCCGATCCCACAAAACCGTCTCCTCTTCATCCGTACTCTAAATTCTAATAAATGTTCGAGAATACTCATTTCGTCGAACATTAGAATATTCTCTCTCTTCGACGAAATGACTTCTGTACAGAACGGATCTTTTCGCGTGGACTACACCTTTTCTACTGGTCTTGACTGAATTGACAATTGACTGAATAGGGCAAAGTGGGGGAATATCGCGCACCTAAGGAAAATAATTCATAATTTGCACATAACATTGATTGGAATGACAAAATGTGTATAAATCGCTCTTATTAAGGTGTATGTAACAACCTTAATCTAGTTTTAATCAAATAGTTTTTTTGTTAAAAAATATTTTAGAACGGGTGTAAATGCGCGATATTCCCCATTCTACGGGGTAAAATTGCGCATGATGTGGGGCAATACCGCGCATTAAAAAATTTTGAAACTGACTTAGACATATTTATTTAACCATTGATGTTATAAAAATAAACACTGAAAAATATATATTTACATTACAAGTACGTTATAAAGTTAGTTAAAAATGCAAAAATCTTTTTCCACTTCTTTTTGCTGTCATGCAATAGTCACAAGAAAAATTTTCTGCTGCACTCTTGGTGTCTTTCAGAACTGGTGCTGGGGAAAGTTAAATTAATTTCTTCCCTTAGGCGGTTATCATCGTTATTATCGTCGTTATCGTGATTACATCATCGAGGCTTGTCCTCACAACGCTACAGATTGATTACTTCATCGAGGCTGGTCCTCGCAACGCTACAGATTGATAACATCAACGAGGCTTATTCCTCGCAACGCTAGGGGTTAATAATACCATCGAGGTATTTTCTTACAACGATGAAAATTTATATCACCGAGACGCTTTTTCCCTCGCAGCGATGACTGGATATTTCTGTGTTTGTTTATTATGTGTTTTGTTGGGGTAACCAGTTCGCGGTATTTTAAACTCTCAAAGTAAATTAAGACGGCCATGTCGTCGATTAAAATATTGATTAAAAAAATGGTCAAATGACGTTAGTTAGCCGATAAGCAATGGCGCTGAATATGTAAATTTAATAGACATTGATTAAGGGCTTAATAAACATCTACTAAACATAATCGATAGCGCTGAATACGGGCTATTGTTTTTTTTTAAGTAACTAATCACTTAGATCATGATATAATTTGACATAATGTGAACTCTTTGTTTGAATCGTTGATAAAGTGTGACAAATATGAATCTCCTGTAAATTTTGTTAACTTTGCAATTTTTTATCTGATACATTTCTCTAATCTCACAATTTTAACCTCAGTAATTTTCCTTTGTTAAATAATTTTCATTGAACGTAAATTTCATGCTCTGTAGTTTTAACCTCATATTGTTATTTGCACAAGTTTATTTCACACCAGATCTTTTGTTTTATAAATCTCTGCTAGTTTTGTTTTCTAAATACTTTGTTGATGAATGTTTCCATCGTATAAATTATTTGATGTCAATTTTTAATCACACATAAGATTCATTTGTTGTTTAAAATTTAAATGTTGTTTATTGCTCGTTGAAACTTTAACACTTGTTCAGTTGTTGTTAATATCAGAGTTATAAGAGATCGAACATTTAAAAATGGAATTGAGCTTAAATAGCACAGAAAACGTGGCAGAAGCGAAATGCGGTTCCTAGTCGAGCTGGCGAGACGTATCGTGTCACCTGTACAAGTCCACAGGTTTGGATAGCTTCAGGGGCGGTTGCGCTGTTGTATTGCTCTCGACTTGGCCCAATAGTCGAGTTCTAACTGCGGATCTGCGATCGTAATGGCCTAGTTTCGCACAGCATGTTCGTAATGGACGTGTGGGTGCGGGTAGGCTTTGCGATAGATAGAATCATCGTCGTGGGGGGGGGGGGGGAAGAACAGCCCCAGACCGGTAGCCCCAAACTCTGCTTGTGCTAGCACGCCCCAGGGGTACTTTTGTTGTGCTCCTGTTAACTGCCGTAACTTTAAATTTGACGCCACACGCCCGCAGTAACTTGTGTATTTGCATCCAGTTCAGATTTTGCTTTGTTTTTATTAAATGTGTGATATTCAAATATTTGCATTGATTCCAAACATATGTATAGGATTTTGCGTCAAATAAAAAATTACATCTATCTACATTTTTGTGGTACATTGTTATAAACATTAACCGCAACATTCACACAATTATTGGAAATATCAACTCCAGAAACAGCTTTCTTACTATTATCTTCTTGAGTATTTTCTATGTCTCCACGAATTTTCGAAATTTTAACATCCAATATTTTATCGGATATTTTATTCTTTTGCTGGATTGAATCTTTGATGTAGCTCTCGGCTACTGTCGTCGACTTCCACCCCCCATGTCGTTTTGATTCTGTGATATTGCCACCAGAATCAGCCAGAAGAGTGGCCGATGTTCTTCGAAAACAATGTCCGGTGTACTGATTAGCATCCTGAAAATTTAGAAATTTTGCCACTATGCTTGCCATTACTCCCAACTTAGTGGTGCCAATAACTTGATTTGCACATTTTCCTTTTGCGTTCGTTTGCGAGCAATGACGAAGTATTATTAGGTTTAGGCTTTTTGTTTGTATCTTGTTTTAAATAGTAAATATAATTTTCTTTATTTCCTAGCATTAGTGCATATAAATAATTCAAGTTTTTTTTTTATTATTTTGAATAAAAAATATTTTTTCACGTTTACCTTTTCCTCACAATAATAATTTTCATAAGCTTCACAAAAAAGCCAGACTTAACCGATATAAACTTTGTGATTGTTGACATTATCTAAAAGTCATCTTGTTTCGGTTTGTTCTGCCCATGGACTGCACATTCAAAAGTTAATAAAATCGATTGAGTCTAATTAGAGTAGTATTTGAGAGACAGACTGGCTCTACCTATTCTTTTTTAATTCTCAAGCATACGCTAAGGAAGTATTGTAATAGGATCCAGCGAATAGCTACTTTCATAGTTTCTCGACGATTTATGACCCCTGTCACCCCTGGAGTATGAAAAAGTAGGTCTCGCGTTTCCGTCTGTCTGTCGCCTGTGTCGATATGCTAACTAAAATTTGTCTAATCAGCCCCACTAAAAATGTGATGATTAAAGGGCGGATTTATATGCACAAATATTTGTTAAAATGTGGGCATTTATTTATATGCTCAAAATTTCTTCGAAATACACAATTTTTGCCAAATATGCATAGTCCGGACGGAAAGAACAATAAACTAGAAACAAAAAAGCAAGAGAAATTACATTTATTACCTATAACATATTTTTACATAATGCATAAATTATACATTTTCTTTGCTACTACAATTGACAATTAATGTTTTTCCAAATTTTCCATTGTAAAATTCTGTCTTCTAGCTGTCAATAACATTTTGTATGAAGAAAAACTTCTTTCTACCTCAACGGGTGTAATTGGTGTGTACTTTAACGAACTAATAATAATGTCCGGACCTAATTCTACATATCTAGTGATTCGACACTTAAAACTTTACTGCTGTTTTCTAGAATTTTATAACTAGTATTTTTAATAATTACCTCTTTTACTTTTTGGTTTACAAAATTGCCTATTTTTCCTGAAATATTCAAAGTGTTGGTTTGAAAATTGATAATTTGCTTTAATAAATACTAATTCATTTAGTAAATAATGTTTTTTGAAAATTTGATGACATATTGCGGTGGCACTGCAGTTCTCATTTGAAAATTCTAAAATATTTTTTTTTATTTTGTAACGGAAAAACTCACTTGATATTCATTTATTACCAGTACTTTGACAATGCCGACGCACAAAACTTTATTTTAACTAGAAGTTATAAAAAATAGCAAAATCAAATTTCATAATTTTTAGAAGAAGCTGAATTTATTATTGAACTTCAATTAAGAATCAAACATTTTAACGTCAAATGTACGTAGATAACCAGTAATATCCTCGTTAACTATTTGAAATAATTGGTGACCTCTCTCACCAAAAATTATTTTTAATAACAAACTGTCGGCATCACCATAATAATTTTATTACCTATCCACAGGAGAACTAGTTATCAAAGAAACAGTGCCCTAACAACCATATCTGGAACAAACTGTGAGGTAAGCAATTTACTACTTATTCACACAATTTTATGATCTACGATCGACTCGTAAATACCAAATAAAATTCTATTTTTAACCGCGGAAAATTAGAATTTAAGAGCTAGAAACGCGAACAGTCTGATCTGAAACGCGAGCGTCAGCGTCAGCATCAATTGACACCCATTAAATGAAAACGAACACTTATTTCCCGTGCAAAGTCACTTAAACCGCAATTAATTTTGAAAACTGAATCTAACTGCGGTTGCACGTGCATTTCAATTTATTAACATATCGACAAATCGACAAAAAATATGGAAAACAGGGCCAGTGACAGTGATAGTACCGATATTGAAAGTTTATCAAGTGAAGACAATGATGACACAGATAAAGCAAAAGGTGGCAAAATTCGAATCCAACGGGGGATCCACTGGTAAATTTTTCAGTATTTAAAAGCTTAGTTGGTTTAAGTGGTTTTAAGAATTTCTATAATTAAACATCCGACTGGGATATTGTTATAATCTGTTTTGTCTCTTTTCTAAGGATCTGGATTTGTGTCATTTAGACGCCATTCCGGTTCTCTACTAACTGTATTTGTTCGTTCCATAAGGTAGGCAATTACATGTATGGTGAGCTGGTTGCCTACCTTATTTACCTAACATCTTTCCCCTTAAAAATAAAAAAAGAAAAAACATATTTCTCTTAACGTAAAGAAAATTAAAACTTAAAGATTAAGCCGCTCCGGCTGGACTATAGGTCGGCCGCTTCTGGTTTTGTATCGTTCATGTTGTTCTGGTTCTAACACAGTTGGTGTTTCACTTGTTTCACATTCACTAGCACTGTCTAATTCTATATAACATCTTAGAGGTTCTTCTCTTTCCTCTTTCCTTTCACAATGAATTTTATTATAAGTTAGGTTGGGTAATGAACGGTTTTGCATGTACTCATTGCATTTGATAAATTTTCGGTTTCTGATCAAGCATGCGCCATTGTCCAACCTAATTTTGTACGTCCTATCTCTAAGTTTACTTATGACTATTCCAGGTGTCCATGTAGAATTTGGTTTCGTTTGTACATACACATTACAGTTTACAGGAAGATCACCTAGTTTTTTGGTTTTATATTTATTAAAATATTCAGCTTGAACTGCCTGCTTTTGCTTTATTGTTGATGAATTATATTGTGAGGCTACTTTAGGTGTGTGTTTTTTTACTGTCGTTGGAATTAATGTGCGTAATTTACGTGACATCAAGATTTCGGCTGGCGAGACATTCTCAAAAATGGGCGTGCTTCGATATTGCAAGAGTGCCATATATATCTCTTTTTTATCATGCAAATTTTTTTTAAAGATGTTTTTGGCTGTTTGAACATTTCTTTCAGACATTCCATTTGATTTAGCATGAGTTGGTGAAGAAACAATATGTGCAAACTCCCATTCTTTGCAAAAATGATCAAATTCTTTGGATGTATACTGTGTTCCTCCGTCTGTTACTAACGTTACTGGAATTCCATGTCGTGAAAACACAGATTTCATTTTGTTTATGATGTTATTACTAGTCATATTTTGACTGAGATTTTCGATTTCGATGTATTTTGAATAGTAATCAATTAGAAGAAGATACTTGTTTCCATTATACTCGAAAATATCTGAGCCTACTTTATTCCAAGGTAGTATTGGTATTTCATGACTTTTGAGAGGCTCATTACTCTGGGATTTAGAGAAATGTAAACATGTATGGCAACTAAGAACACGTTGAGTAATTTCGTTGGTCATCGTAGGCCAAAAGACTGAATCTTTCGCCAGTTTTAAACATTTATTCACGCCTAAATGACTGTAATGGATTCTCTCTATCATGTCTTTGCGCATTTTATATGGAATAACGAGAGACTGACCTTTGTAAATTAAATCGTCAATAACAGTTAATTCGTGTTTGTATTTGGCGTACCGTTTGATTGTATGACTTGCACGTTTAAGATTTTTCGGAAATCCTTCTGTTATCGCGTGTTTTAGTTCCAGCATTTCTGGGTCATTTTGAATGGCTTCTTTAATTTGATTAATTTTTTCTGGAGTAGCATTAATCTGAGTTTGTATTAGAAACACATGAGCGTCAATTTCCTCCTCTATTTCATCTTTTTGTGTATTGTCAGTATACGTAGCTCGAGATAGCGCGTCCGCTAAGAGCAAATATTTGCCTGGTTTGTAGACTAAATTAATTTCATATTTTTGTAACTGTAATAACATTCTCTGTAATCTCGCTGGGCATTTATTTAATGGCTTTTTAAAGATAGAGATAAGAGGTTGATGGTCCGTTTCGACAGTTACCTTTTTGCCATAAACGTAGTCATGAAATTTTGTTAGACCAAAACAGATTGCCAGGAGCTCCTTCTCTATTTGTGCGTATCTTTGCTGAGTCTCGGTCATTGTTTTGGAAGCATATGCACACGGAAGACTGTTTTGCAAAATTACCGCCCCCAGTCCGTTTTTAGAACTGTCTACTGAAACTGTAACATCTTTATTTACATCATACAACTGTAAAACTGGTTTTGACGTTAGAATTTTTTTTATCTCTGTAAATGCTTTTTCCTGGTGACTTGTCCACTCGAAATTTACTTCTTTTTTAATTAAGTCTCGCAAGGGTGAGGTTTTTGTTGAAAATTCTGGAATGAATTTACTAACGTATGTTAACATACCTAACAAACGCTGAACGTCCTGCTTTGAAGTTGGCTGCGGCATGTTCAAAACTGCCTCGATTTTAGAATTATCGGGTTCAATACCTCTCCCGGAAATGTAATGTCCCATGTATTTGAGTTTTGCCACCCCAAATTTGCATTTATTTTGATTGAACTTGACATTGTTTTCTTTTGCAATTTGTAACACCGCTTGCAATCGTGCATCGTGTTCTGCTCTGTTTCGACCCCAAATGATTATATCATCGATATACACTTCTACTCCTTCTAAATTAAAAATTGATTTGAATTTTGTCTGAAACACTTCTGGTGCTGATTTAATTCCATATGGAAGTCGAAGAAATTTGTATCTTCCAAACGGAGTTCCGAATGTACACAAATCCGAACTCATTTTGTCTAGTTGTATTTGATAAAACCCGTTTGTTGCGTCTAGACTACTGAATACGGTAGCACCTGCTAATTTACTTGTTATTTGCTCTAAAGTTGGTATCGCACAATATTCCCGCTTTATGGCACGATTCAGGTCTTGTGGATCTAAACAGATACGTAATTTTCCATCTGGTTTCCGTACTACCACTAGTGCATTTACCCAATCTGAGGGACCGTCAACTTTCTCAATAACGTTATGTGCAATTAATTCATCTAGAGTTTCTTTTAACTGATTTAATATTGGCAATGGAACTCGCCTTGTCGCATGTACGACTGGTTTGGCGTCAGGCAATAGCTGGATGTGGTGTTCCCCGTGAATACACCCTATTCCTGAGAATACTGTCTCGAATGGTCCCAAAAATTCTCTGTAATTCGTGGAAATAATTTCATTTGAATTTAAGAAATTGATACGCTTAATTAATTCCAGCTTTTCGCACGTTTGCAAACCCAAAATAGCCTGCTCACCTGAACTAACAATAAAAAAATCTATTAAGTAATTGACATTATTTTTGTTGCACTTTAACCTACAAATTCCTAATACATTTAGGTAATTTCCTGTATAGGACTTTAATTTAACACTTGTCTTTCGTATTTCTGTCATTGGCATTTTCAATGATTTGAATAAATCTAAAGGAAGGACGTTAGCCATTGCGCCCGTATCAACTTTGAAATTAATAAACTTGTCTTTTAATTTTAATTTTGTAAACCATCCGTCCTTAGAATTATTCTGTTGTGTGAGTGTACCTATAAACAAACAGTTTCTATCATTTTCTATGCTTTTATCAATTGCGTTAACAGCCTTTTGTTTTGGTAAGTTTACACATGCAAGCTTCTTTCGACACACTGATGCAAAATGGTTTTTGTTTTTGCAGAAATTACAAAATTTGCCGTAAGCTGGGCACTTATTTATAGGATGATTTCTACCACACTTACTGCAGTTCGAGATCTGACCTTGCTTCACTTTCTTGTCCTTTGACTTACGGATGACATCCAGCGGAACCTCCTTGTTTTCTATAGCCACTGTGCGCTGCTTTGATGTTTCGATGGCCAAACACAGATCTATAGCCTTTTGTAATGAGAGAGAGTCGTCCTGGAGGAGTCGTTCCCTCATCGTCGAGTTAGTCACCCCGCAGATTATCATGGATTTGATTAGAGAGTCCTCGAGAGTGTCGAATGCACATTTCTGAGCCTGCTTCTTCAATTCTGTGACGAACTGTTCAAAAGCCTGGTTTCCTTGCTGCCTGTACGAGAAGAATTTATAGCGCTCGTATGACAAGTTTTCCTTTGGTACGAAATGAGCTTCGAATTTTTCCATTAAAACTGAGAGTTTACCAGCTTCACCATCAGCGAACTGGAATGTAGTGTATATTTTGAAACCCTCTTCTCCAATGTAGTGTAGCAGTTGTGCACACTGAATTGTTTGATCCTTCTTGGACACTTCAGAGGCTGTAAGATAATTGTTGAAACGACTTCGCCACGTGGCCCAATTTTCCGCCAAATTTCCTTCCATTCTCATGGGTGCTATTCCTCGCTGTTCACCCATCATTGCTCACTGTACTACACTCACCGCAATGTAGATTCGTTATTTGACTATTTATCCATCGACTGCGCCATGTTATAATCTGTTTTGTCTCTTTTCTAAGGATCTGGATTTGTGTTATTTAGACGCCATTCCGGTTCTCTACTAACTGTATTTGTTCGTTCCATAAGGTAGGCAATTACATGTATGGTGAGCTGGTTGCCTACCTTATTTACCTAACAGATATTGAGTTCAAAATATAAATATTTATAGACCACACTTCTTTATTGATTTTAGTACACATTCGAAGGTGATGATAAAATAAACTTTTTCTTGAAAATTGGACCATTCCATTTTTTTTTGTTCATTAAAAAGTAACTGCGTTTGTCAGTACTTACAACAATAATTACTTCAATTAATTTAATTACATTACTTGAAATTTGAACAAAAGCATTTATTAACAAGACAACAAGTGCAAAGAAAGTTTTTGGTAACATTTTTGAGAATGTCTAGAAGCGAATAACAATAGTAAATTTTTTAATTTGAATTTCTTCAGTTTGTCGCAAAGACTTTGGAGGCACACTCCTGAAATCTAAATGGTTTGGAGACTAGGGGTTATGACTGATCCACTCGAATTCAGTATGTTTACCTAATAATGAATTCTTACCACGAACATTTGTTTGGTCAATGGCTACTACATATCTTATAAACGTTTTTTGTCTTGTGCAGGTGTGGAGTAGATGACGATGCCCCCACGACCTCTCCTCCAATCACCTGGCCACCTTCCAATCCATCAGCCAATTGGCGCCAGTTACGTCCTGCCAGATTAGGAAATCCTTTACATGGTACCAAATTGCAATTATTCTCCAAAACGAAACACCACTTGGCTGTGTACCCAGACAGTGTGGTGAAAGGAAATCCAGATGATAATGATCTACATAGTAAAAACATAGAAATTCAAATTTTCATTTCATTAAATTAAATACACCTTTCAGCATTTTTGGAAATAATCTCAGCTGGTTATCCGGGTCATGTGCGCATAAAAGGTCTTCTAACAAATCTCTACCTTGCCATGGACAAGAAAGGACGCTTGTATGGAGAACCAGATATGAATGAAGATAACACGATCTTTATTGAGTCCTTTCGGGGGTCATATAATACGTATTTGTCACTAAAATACGCACATTTAGGGTGGTATGTTGGTATAAAGAAATCCGGGAAATTTAAACGAGGGCCGCGTACCAAATATGGACAGAAGGCCATCATGTTCCTGCCCAGACGATCACGATTTCAGTAAAATTGGAACCGTATTATCATAACATTTAATACTCTGTAAATAGACCAGTATTTTTTTTTTATATTACCACGACATGTCAATAATAGTGAATCTTACGATATTTTCTTTTTTGTGTTATCCTATATCTAATTAATTAAGACGTATTTGCATTGCTAGTTTTGTGTTGTAACGGCTTTTTAGATTAGAATGGCGACGAAATGTGTTTGCTTTTGAGGTTCAAAGAGGACGGTAACGTGGAGCATATTACAAATTACTGCTTTGGTTAGAAATCACCTGTCTGTGAGATGCAGAAGTTTTTTTGGAGGGTGGGGGGGGGGGTCTATTACAATTTAAGCCGCACGGAGAGGCCCATAACTTCGAGTTCTAAAAGAATCATGTCCCTTTAAAGAGCCCAGAATGCAATTTATAGGTATATCTCGAATATCATGTAAGTCATCGTGAATTCGAAGAGAGAAAGGGGATTCTATGCTGTTTTTGTGTTGATTTAGGTGTTCTACGACCTCGACTTGGAATATTTACCTCGGACGCGCCTCTCAAAGCGACGTGTGTACTGAACGATATTTTGTGTTTTTGACCATATTTAACATGTGTTTTATGTATTTATGTGTTGGGGAATTCCATTCACGATGTACTCTTGTTTGATTAATTTTGCTTTATTGAATTCGGTTGGCGACAGCGGCGTTCGGCCCAAGTCTAGATCGACAAATTTTTACTTTCTTTCATATGACTGTTTATTCGCAATACTGGATTCCACCGGATCGGAGATAATTTCTTTCCGAGAAGTCATTGGCGAGGGGATAATCTCTATTATTAAGGAGGATTAAATTTTACAGAGGAAAAAGGAGATTACTTCAATAGAACAAAAGGAGATTACTGTAATTTTTCCAAGTTTCCACAAACCGATTAGTCTTGGCTGCTCGGCCGCGAACCCGCGGTGAATACCACGACCTAAATTTAGGGAAGCACGGACAGTCTAGCGATAGCAAGGATGGAGAACATGGACATGGCGAGAACGGAAACACCAGTGGACCGGGACCAATTCATTCAGGGGAAGAACAACTGCCAGAAGAACGCCAGCACGAAGAGACTAGCAAGCGCATCGCCGCAGAAGGCGGTCAAGAAAGGAACCGAAGTTGTGGAACGCGACTCTAGAGAGACGAGAAACGAAAGGCAAAAGTGAAGAAGACGAGCCGCGCAGCATTGATAAGGTGCTACGTAGACGAAGTAGAGAGGGCTCTAGGGAAAACCCCGGGGTCTGTGAGCCATGAGCGAAACGGGAAGGTCCTCTTCCGCAAGAAGGACCAGAACGCAGGCAGAGACAGCATCGATACGATCAGGAAGTGCGTTCCGCCAAGCGAAGGCGAGGACGAAAGGAGCCAACAAGAGAGCTGAGAAGGAGGCGATTTCTCTGAGGAATCAATCCCGCGCGGCAACGGAAAAGCTCCAAACGAAGAACCGGGACTTGAGAGGGCCATCTCAAAAAAAGTTCGACCCATTCCGCGCCGAACACGCCGAGGAGGTGAGACAGGGGAACAAAATGACGACAAATCCACTGGAAGCGAATCCGATGTCCCGTAGAAAAGGGTGAAGCCTCAGGGGGACCTACCACAAGGGACGACAAAAGTCGGCCGAAGAAGTGAAGGCAACACTGACGAGCACGACCGACATCGGAGCCATCGGAGGCCCATTGTCGGGACTCGTCCCAAGTAAGGACGGCTCCGTTGCTCTAGTCAGGGTGAACGAAGAGCAGAGAATGAAACTGGAAGCCCTCCTGAGGACCAGGGAAGGACTGGCCGTGAAGATGGGATCGCTTGCGATGTGTACACAGCCTTAATGGTGAGAAAAAGCATGGTCGTTAGATTGAGTGCACTTATGAGATAAAAGTAGGGGCAAAACCTTGGTGCTAGCGTTTAGTACGGAGGGCCTAAATCGAGCACGAAGAAGTTAACCCAATATACCGTATCGATAACCTGGCATAAGACCTTAATATTTAATTAAAATAACATGAGTTGTCAATCACGCGGCATCACCAGATCACAATAATGCAAACGAATATAATTGACTAGACTAGTGAGAACCTACACTTCAATGCGATGGAGTTAGCAGTTGAGTATTAGGTTGGAAGGGAAAGCTTGGCGATGCGGTGCTGAAACCCGACGAAGGACGGCTTGGAGATGCATCTGGGGTTATTTTGAGCTCATTCGGCGTATGGAAGTCACATGTCGCGACCATACTAAACTTTAGACGGACGGCCCGAATGAGTGAATCGGATTGGACTGATTTTCAGGTTGTTTTGTTCCCATTTATAGTGGTTTTGCGCGTGGGAACGGGATGAGGAACGCATCTCATAATTTTGCCATCGTCGGACCACCCGGAATGCTAGAAGAAATAGACAGTGGTCCTTGAGTAAAAATGTCGCACTTGAGTCCGTGCAACTATCCCTAAAGGTGGACAGTAAACGCTGCCCATATTTGGTAATGGAATGCCTTTGTTTATTGGAGAAGAAAAACAAATACATGAGCTCAAAGTGAATTACTATTTGATTGGGCACGAGGGTGCTGCCCATATTGGAGTACAGTTACGGGAGGGACACTTTGCGCAATAGCGCTATTTTACACTTCCCTTTCTGAAAAAAAAAAATATGAGTTTCAAAGCGCTCGTATTTTCTCGGATGACCTACAACTACACAGGTACAGAGCTTTAGTGACGAGGTCCAACAGTGGCGTGTCTTGGGAAAACAGTGACAGTATGAGAGTCAATAGAAAAACGTAGAATAAAACGGTTAGCGATTAGATTTGAGTAGGTACACTGTCGTCGAGCGTAGTAATACAATAAATGGGGTAAAAAGTTTAATGTCTTTTATTATAATAGGCATAATAATGCTAAATGATTCCTTTCTGGACGCGATGAGTCCGGCTTTGGCTAGTACGTCCCCCCAGTCTCGAGGGATGATAAGCTAGGACGTTGTGGTTTTTTCCGTGTGTTTTGGATTCTTCGTGAATGGATGCAATTCATTTTCTACATCCCCCGGGCACCATTAGTAAGTGTCGCATGATGCGGCCTGAAGGCTGGTCTAGTAGTAGTGGTGATGAATGTCCGTACTTCGTGGCCGAACGATTAGGTAGAACATGAAACAAAGGAGTAGATTAATAGCAACTAGTTAGAGGATCACGATGAGTATCTCCCACACTATCCCCTTTTATTAACTTGAGCTGCGCGAATAGCAATATGCGATGTACCGTAGTTTCATGGAACGACTCTGATTAGAGCCAATTACGTTATGCTGAAAGTATAACGAAATGGTGCATATATTCTATCCTAGTTTACATTTTTAGATTACGGAGTGTTAAAGATATACTTCAGCCCGATTTCCGCAGAGAAGTAGAGAGAGACTCGGCATCAATTGGTTCTCTTTGCCTCTTCCTTCTACTCTTTCGCCTCTAGGACTTTCCGATACGACCTACCGCCTCCAGACATCAACCGGAGGATTTACCGATTCTTCTCTAGGCATCAACCGGAGGATACTCTATTGCCGCTCTAGGCATCAAGAGACCGGAGAGTCCCCTACTACCATCGCTATGAATAAAGTAATCAACAAAATATTTTTATAATAATATTAATAGATTTATTTCCTCCGATACCACGGCCACCAATGTAGGTAAGCGAAGAAAAATGTTGCTGCCTCGGTGGGAATCGAACCACATGCCCTCCGCTTGCCGGGCAGGTACCCTGACCACTAGACCACGTGTTATTGTGCCGGCATATCTTGTTTTCGCGGGCGCTCACCACTTAAGATCCGTGACTCCGGCTTGAGAGCAACCCCGGCGCTCCAGCTCCATATTTCGTTATGTCGTTGGAGGAAATCCCGTAGAGCGCTTTCTGGCTTTTTTCGATGTTAGTGCAGGTCGTTCAGCAAACGATTTGTATAATTTATTAATTAACGAATTCTCTAGAGATGAGCGATACCGTGATTTTGCGATCACGGTGATCACGGCGACCGTTCCTTTTGAATCACGGTGATTTTAAACGGTGATTTTGTCACGGTGATCAAGGAACGGCGAGCGACGAAAGTAGCGATTTAATATTAGGATCACGGCGCCGGCGCGAACCGCGACTTTTCACGGTTCTTTCTTGTCACCGTGACGGTGATCACAGGAACGGTTTCAATATTCTCTCGCGGAGGAACGGTGATCGCAGGAACGGTGATCGTAGGAACGGTTTCAATATTCTTTCGCGGAGGAACGGTGAAACGGTGTGCCATGTGAACAGCAGAAAATTCCGATATATCGATGAATGAATAAACAGTAATTGTTGGGAACAAATAAATAACAACAAATCATATAGTAAATGTAAATTTATTGGCACATAAAAACATGCATAAAATGCATAATTAATTAAAGAAAAACTACCTCCAAATAACTAGATGTCGTCTCAGATTTTATAGCAAACTGTATGAAAAGAAAATAAAAGCAAAATTTACCATTCACTGTTTCGTATTACTGGAATCAATTTTAAAAGGGAAAATTACGGTCGCCGTTACTTGCCGATACCAGTCACGGTTACCAACAGTGACAAACCGATCACGGTGAAATAATCACCGGTAGTGAAATATCGCTCATCTCTAGAATTCTCAAAATTTAATTTAAATACGAAGCTCATATCTTAGACATATGGTGGGGCAGCGGTAATGGCTGGAGAACTTAATGGGCTTCAAGCCAAAATAAAGACAATTGCCCCTCAAGCACGCTTTTTTCATTGTTATGCTTAGATCATATAATAAATAGATACCACCATGCCGTGTTCTTTCCCTAGGACAGCCTGTGACGACATCCTCCTGTCACACATCTCTCTCGTGCATGGAGGGATTACAATGAAGCTATCCTTGCCTGATCACTATTTGAATTTTGCGCGCCTAAATTTTAGGAAGTATGTCTGAACTAACTTCGGAAGAAAGATGTTGACAGCTTGATTTTATAAATAATTCACAGTAGATAACGAAAGGAATAGTAAATTATTGGGCAGCAATTGTGATCCTTTATGACTACATCATTTAAAATAGGATCTTTGTTCTAAATTCTAAAATTGTTTTTTGTACAACAACTCGAAAGAGAGGTTAGAAGAAACATCTGTCAAAAGCGATTTGTTGCGCTGGTGCGGTACAAGGATGGAAGTGAAATAGACATATACAGATGAAATGCATATAACAAAGATGAAGATGTGGTGATCACACAAGGATAGCATTATACTACTCCCCTTGACGTAGAAAACGACAACATACACCTTCATGTCTAGTCACAGCTTTCAGTTTGAGTATTGGTATCTATTTATTATATGATCTAAGTTGTTATGCCCATAATTTAAATTTACTTTTAAGCGATGCAACCAAAAGCTGCCGGGATGTCCGTATACTTTTTCAAAATCAACGAAACGATGTAATATTTTAGATCAAGTATGTAACAAAAGAATTCCAAGTAATGTACAGACAAGATGGAATTTTACATCAACAGCTGTTCAAACAATGGTATCATTAAATGATAAATTAACTGAAGTATTTGATTTTATTATTAATAGTGATAGTTTTGCCAGAGACGGAATTAGTTTTTAATATTTTACAAAATACTTATGTTGACAGACATTTCATACGCCAAGAAAATATTTATTAATCAAGTTAATAGATATACTAATGGGATTTTAAAAAGAGGAAACACATTTTAATAAAATTTTTGGAGACCTTACGGATAATCTTGAACCACCAACAAAAAGAGCTAGATTTTATGATGAACCAAAAACTATTTATAAGGAAAAATTTGATCAAATATTACAAATTATTATTCATCAGATAAAAGTAAATTTCCTAGATATTGAAAGTTTACACTTTTTTGTGTCGCTAAATTTTGAAAAATTTCAAACTTTTGCGAAAGATTTTCCCATTCAATTACTTGGTAATCTTTGTGAACTTTACGACATTTTTGATAAGAGTAAATTAGAAAGTCAGCTGTGTGCTGTTTATAATGGTCCATCTATTCTAGGAAATTGTGCATCCTTGATAGAAACGTCAAATTTTATAGTAGTTAATGATCTTCATACATGTATAAGCGAAATGTATAAACTTTTATGTATTATTCTTACAATTCCTGTAACATCTGCTTCAGTTGAGCGAAGTTTTTCTGCCTTAAAACGTTTAAAAACATACACACGCAATACAGTCAGATTGCAAGATTTAGCAATAATTTCAATAGAAAAAGACTTTGTACGAAATTTAATTAAACCTTTCAAACAACAGTTCAAATGTGTATATCCACATAAAAACACACCATGTAGAAGAACAGGATATGAAATGGCATCAAGAATGGTATATAGAAGTAAGTTTAATTCCGCTTTAAAAAGACACATGGATATGCGACATTTCAATGAAAAGAAAAGTAAGTATGTATTATGAATGCAAAAAGTGTCCATACAAAGGTAAAACAGATTACTATTTGAAAAAACACGTCGACCTGGAACACTTGGAAGAAAAAAGTGTTAAAGTCTATGAGTATCAAGAGTGCCTATACAAAACTAAGTGGAATTATCATTTAAAACATCACATAAATTCAAAACATGAAATTAGGAAATTTTAAAAGGCATTAAAAACAAAAACATGAAGAGAATATACTTGTTATTATTGCCAAATTGGTTCAATTTCTGGACAACTATACATTGTTTTAATTAAAAACTTCCATTTAAAATCAACTGTTTTTATTTAAAAGCAAATCTTTGCTCATTGGTTCAATAATAGTTCCCATTTTCGTAGTAAGGGCCGGTTTTATTAGTTTTTTGTACGCTGTTTCTGGCATGAAAGTATTGCCTATTGGTGCCCTTATGCTAGCCTCAAAATCCTTGACAGTTTTGAAAGGAAAAGGAACCTCTGAAACCATGTCTTCTTTAACTTTGTTTTGTGCATTTTCATTTATGATCAAAAATCCTTTATTATCGTCTTTTCTGGGGATTTTCTTAGGCGCCTTCATCGTGAAACGTCGTTTCTTTCGTTTATTTACTTTAATGCCAGTTCCTCCCCATGAACCCCACCCAGGCAATGTAAGATTAATATTTTTAGGTTTATCTTTATCAGCCTCATTACTTTTATCTTTATTGAATTCGTCAACAATATCGTCGTCTTCAAAAGCTTCAGAAATTACCGCTCGTTGGTCATCTACTTCTTCAGTTGTAACAATATTGGGTATAATTAAATTAGTTGGGTGTTGGTTCGTTTTTTGTTTTTTCTTTTTTAGTGGAACTTTTTTGTCTTTTTTTAATTTCTTAACAGTTTCTTCAACATCAAAGCTTAAATCCGAAGTTACAACTTTCTGCTTTCTCTTTTTCAATAAAACACTTTTGTTGGATTCTGGTTGGTCAAATTTAGCTAAATTTGAGTCTACATTTTCGGAATTTTCTAGCCCATCTTCAGTTCTCTCTGCATCCGATTTTTGCGCTATCTTATTTTGTTCCAGCCAGTATTTTCGATATCCGGTAATAAAATCGGCAACTTCTTTTCCAGGTTTGACACCATTTAGCCACGGATTAGTTTCATCAATCCCTCTAGGGGCCTTTTCAACGTCTTCATCTTCTTCTTCTGACGAACTTCTATTTGTTTTTGACTTCTGAGTCAGTTCTCGGCTTACTGTTAACTGTTGGGCCAGATTTTGTCGACTCTATAATAATAATAATAATAATAAAAATTAATTAGAATTGTTATTTTTACGCGATAGCAGTGTTTTTATTTTCCTAGCATAAGCTTTAACAATACAAAAAACAGTTTTCCTGTTTTTGTCTGTCAATGGTTAAGCGCTAATCAAAATTTGTTTGTTCATCCACACCAACAATTTGATGACGTCATCGCAAATTTTTGCTAAACAAATCCGATTTAAATGTTGTAAAATAATATAATAAGACTTGTGTTTTATTGAAACGTTTTCTTTTACCTTATGTAAATTTACTTAAAACTCTGCAATCTTACCTCTTTGTCATATTTAGCTCTAATCTGTTGATTTCTTGCCCACTTCCCTGTACTTTTGTGTCTTAAACTAAACCTTTCCTCGATTCTCGATTTCTCAATTTCCTCTAATTTTTTGAGTGCCTCTTCTGGATTTGTTTTCAGCAGCTGCTCAAATTCCTTTAATTTCTTTCTGATTTTCTCTCGCTTCTGTATCCTGTGATACTTTTTACTCTTAATTTTATTCTGCCTCCGAGCCTCAGCCTCCTTATACCCCTGATACGCCCTCATCTTCGCCGCTTCCTTTCGCCTAGCTAACATTTCTTTCATTGTTAAAGGAAACTTCTCTTGTTCTAAATTAATATGATACTCTTCAACTGTAGGCTCATGTTTTTCCAACTCCTCTGTCAGTTTCGACTTTACTCGCCACATACTTGCAAAATTGTCAAACTCTTTCTGGTCCATCTTGACGTCATCATTCAAAGGGAACGATAAATTAGTAGAAACGCGGTTTGCAGTCACCGTCGCTTCCCACCTATCCAACTCCAACCGTGTTTTCTCATAAGCCACCGTTCTGCGAATTTTGTTTGCCTGGGGCTTTTCCAAGGGCCTGGGAAGGGTGTGTGAACCCTTATGGACCCTTTTAACATTTTCTTTTATTCGGAGTCGACTTTTCCGGTTTCGCAATGACTTGGTGAGATCGTTTATCTCGACAGAACCTTTATCACCAGCGCTGCATTTAACTAAGTTGAATTCTGATATTTGCAACGTGGGTTCTGTACGAGATGGTTTTCTAATATGTTGAGTCTTATTCAAACTAAGGACTTTTTCTACTAATTTTTCGTGCTTTTGAGCATCTTCTTCTGTGTAGAAATTTTCGTAATTTTCATTAGTATCGCTTTCCATTTTTGAAATATTTAAGAAAAAAGTAGCGGTACGTGTGGAATCACTTCGCGCGACGTTTATTTTAGGTTAGGTTCACAGAGCACACACCACAGAACATCTAACTTAAGAAATGCAAAGCCCCTTGTTATTGGCCGACAACAGAACCGACGCGCGACTGTGTTTTTATGGCAAACTAAATAAGAATGGCGCTACTTTTAAATGCTACGAGGTCATTTTATTTATTTCAACTAAAGTAATTAATTTGATTACTCTGAACAGGTAATTTTTTAATTAATGTAATTACTTTAGTAGAAATAACACAAATTTATACACAAGTATTGTTATAAATAAAAGAAAATGTTAACATTTAAATATTTTATTAGGAAACTAGCTGACCCGGTGAACTTCGTTTCACCTACAATTTAATTTTGAATCTGCAAAACCGAATACTTTGAAAACTTGCAGATGTTTTAAACATATGATAAGCATAATAAATTTTTATTCAATTATTATTATCCTCTTCAAAAAATTGATGACGTCAGCCCAAAATTTGGCAAATGAATCCTATCTAAAATGTCCAAAATAGGATAAGTCTATACTTGTGATTTGTTAGTCCATTCATATTTTTTAGATTTGCTTATATAGGGTGACTCAAAAAAATTAATGAATAGGTGAATTAATTTTATTGATTTAATCAGGAACTGCAAAACCGAATGTTCTGAAATCTTGGAGATGCTTTAATGTTATAAGCATAGTAATTTTTTGATTAAAATGTATTTGTTCATTCTCCCTAAAAAATTGATGACGTCACCTGAAAATTTTGCTGAACAAATCCTATCTGAAATGTGCAAAATAGGATGAGTTTTTACTTGTGATTTATCACTGCATTAATATTTTTTTAGTTTTGCTTAAACGGGGTGTCCCAAAACAATTAATCACTGGGTCAATTTATTTTATTGACTGAATCAAGAATTGCAAAACTGAATATTTTGAAATATTGCAGACGTTTTGAAGTTACTGTAAGCATGGTAGCTTTTCAAAATATATCTGTTTATCAAGCCCAAAAACTTGATGACGTCATCTCAAAATTTTGCCGAATAAATCTAAAATGTGCAAAATATCATCAGTATATTTTCGTAATTTATCATTGCATTCATATTTTTACTTCCCGAGCGTAAGCAAAGGAAGTATTGTAATCGAGTCCGTCGGCCGACTCTCTACTTTTACGTTTTCTCGATCTTTCACGACCCCTATCTGTCCGGCTGTCCGTCTGTCCGTTTGTCCGTCTGTCCATCTGTCCGTCTGTCCGTCCGTCTGTCCGTCCGTCTGTCCGTCCGTCCGTCCGTCAGTGTGTCTGTCTGCCGTCCCGGATTTTTATTAGACAGATAATCTCCGAAAGTACTGGACCGATTGTTGTGAAATTTTGTAGTTATATTAGAAATATCATGTAGATGGTAAAACACTAACCAAAATTTGTCCAATCATCCCCACCACTAATGTGATGACGTCACTTCAAAATTGTACATAGTAAATGGGTTTTAAATTGTATAAAATAATATAGTCCTTAACATGTAGTTTACGACTACGAATTGAGTTTTTACCCGAAACGTCCAGATTTTTGGAAAAAAAATCAAAATTATAAAACAACATTTTGCAATTTAATTTTGAATCTGCTAATCCGAATGTTTTGAAATGTCGCAGATGTTTTAAAGCTATAAAGAGCATCATAAATCTTTACTCAAAATATATCTGGTTATCCCCTCCAAAAACTTGATGACGTCAGCTCAAAAGTTTGCCAAATAAATCCTATGTAAAATGTACAAAATATGATGAGTCTCTGCTTGTGATATATTACTCCATTCATATTTTTTGGATTTGCATATACAGGGTGACTCAAAAAAATTAATGAATGCGTAAATTTATTTTACTGATTTACTCAGGAACTACAAAACCGAATGCTTTGAAATCTTGAAGGTGTTTTAAAGTTATCATAAGCATGGTAAGTTTTTGATCAAAATGTATTTGCTCATCCCCCCTAAAAAATGTATGACGTCACCACAAAATTTTGCCGAATAAATCCTATCTAAAATGTACAAAATATGGTTAGTCTCTTCTTGTCATTTATCAATCCATTCAAATTTTTTCGATTTCCATATACAGGGTGACTCAAAAAAATTAAGAAATGCGTGAATTTATTTTATTGAGTTAATCAGGAACTACAACACCGAATGCTTTGAAATCTTGCAGATATTTTAAGGTTACAAAGAGCATAATAAATGTTTAGTCAAAATATTTTTGGTTATCCTCTCCAAAAAATTGATGACGTCAGCTCGAAAGTTTGCCGAATAAATCCTATCTAAACTGTACAAAATATGATGAGTCTGTACTTGTAATTTATCACTCCATTCATATATTTTGGATTTGCATATACAGGCTGACTCAAAAAAATTAATGAATGCGTAAATTTATTTTATTGATTTACTCAGGAACTACAAAACCGAATGCTTTGAAATCTTGAAGATGTTTTAAAGTTATCATAAGCATGGTAAGTTTTTGATCAAAATGTATTTGCTCATCCCCCCTAAAAAATTTATGACGTCACCACAAAATTTTGCCAAATAAATCCTATCTAAAATGTACAAAATATGATGAGTCTTTTCTTGTGATTTATCATTCCATTCATAGTTTTTGGAGTTGCACATACAGGGTGACCCAAAAAAATTAATGAATGGGTAAATGTACATTATTGATTTAATCAGGAACTCCAGAACCGAATGTTTTGAAATCTTGCAAATGTTTTAAGGTTATAAAGAGCATAATAAATTTTTTAGGCAAAATATATTTGGTTATCTTCTACAAAAAACTGATGACGTCAGCTCAAAAGTTTGCCGAATAAATCCTATCTAGAATATACAAAATATGATGAGTCTGTACTTGTAATTTATCATTCCATTCATATTTTTTTAATTTGCATATACCGTGTGACTCAAAAAAAAAATAATGAAATCTACTGCGAAAAAAACATAATAGACATGCAGTCACGTTTCCGACAGCAAGGGAAGTACTGTCTAAACTCTTTAGACCATTTTTTGATTTGCTTTTACAGTGACTCAAAAAATATATGGATCAGTCAATTTATTTTAGTGAATAACTCAAGAGTTGCAGAAATAAATACTTTGAGAACTTGCAGACGTTTTAAAGTAATTGTAAGCATGGTAAATTGTTAAGAATATTTATTTATTCCACCCAAAATATTGATGGAATGGCTCACTCGATTTTCGCAGATAATTTTGGAGATACAATACAGTTATTTTTAGTATTAGTTACACTGCACCAATCCAAGGTGATATACGTGTTGTTCGTAAATGTTGATTAGGTCATCACAAAATTGTGTGAAGAAAAGACTCAACTCGAAAATGCTGAATATGTTACATTATACTTTTGGTGCGAAGGAAGTTCTATCGAAAAAACGTTCGATCAGTTGTTTGACAATGGTTGATATAAATAAAACTCAGTAGATACTCATACTCGAAATACGAAGTATCTACTCGAATATCAAATCAAAATATTTCTAGTTTTTCTAGATGATGCAAATAGGTAACACTTGATGCTCAAGTAGCATCTCGATACAACAAAAAAGAAAAACACTGACAGTGTTCAACCATCAAGGCAAAAATCGGGTCACCAAAGTCAGTATGGGGTAGACACCTTGAGATGGGAATCTCTATGGCCAGTGTTAGAAAAAACGTACTGCACAATTTATGCATAAATAAAAGTTAATTACCTGAAAAGTTTTCGATATTCCCGCTGCTAATATGTTTTTCAAACTGAATGCACCTTTTGACGACGCTCCACGTTCATGAAAGTATCCATGTTTAGTCAAAATTCACTTTTACAACGATCCTACTCGCTTTCTAAGCTGCTTTACAGACAGTTCAGTCATTTGCCACGCCGATTCTCATTTTTAGATTATATGCTCACAAAACGCGTAGGTAGATGTTCAATTTGTGTCCGGGGAGTGTAACGGATTTTTATTTAATTTTGAATTGATTTGCATTCGAAGTGGTGGCGCATCTATCACGCGTAGTGTTGGTGTGAGCTACGGGAAAAAACGGGGAGAAAAAAGGAGATAAGAACGGAGGAGATAGCGGGGCGGGAGCGAGTGAGGAGCTCGGGAGGAAGACAATCAAGTTCAGGGGCTTTTCAAGGAAGATTTTCGGGAAGAGACGGGACCTGAGAACCGAAGGAAGAGTCAGGAGCCTCCGCCGCCTACGCTGAGGAGAGAAGAGGTGCCCTTCCGCATATTTTAACAGTGATTGGCTTATCGTATGTAATATCTTTAATAATATCATTTGTCGTAAACGTAGTTTTATTGGGCTCGGGTTGAAACCCACTTCGTGAGGTAACAATACAGTAGCATTTATTTGAAATCCTGTAAGTAGGTTACATAAGTTTTGGCGCCCAACGTGGGGCTCGAACCCACGACCCTGAGATTAAGAGTCTCATGCTCTACCGACTGAGCTAGCCGGGCCAATGGCACCATTTGATTCCATTTATTCATTTTAGAATTCATCTAATGTAACAAAATCGTATCACTATCAGAATTGTTAATATGAAATGGAATCAAATGGTGCCATTGGAAAATCTCTTGTAAATATATTTATACACGCCAGAGGGGGCAAAATTCACCGTAGTAACTGATCATCACAGTCTCCTGTGGCTTAACAACTTAAAGGATCCCAGTGGTAGATTGGCAAGGTGGGCAGTGAAGCTGCAACAGTTTGAGTTTGTTTTAGAACACCGAAAGGGTTTTATGAACGTGGTGCCGGATGCCTTAAGTCGAGCGCCACTGCCAGAAGTTGCTGTAATTCAGGTGAGGCCGGGAAACACAGATAAGTGGTACCATAGCATGCTTAAAAGTCTTGAGGAACGTCCAAACGATTATCCGGATTATTTAGTTAAGGATGGTGTCCTATATAAACATGCGAGGCCTCGGTATCGAGTGTGGCGGCACCGTCGGGTCTTGGGCTATTTTGCTTATTTATATTTAGTGTCCGAGTTTTGTGCCGAGGGCCGTCAC